GAAGGATGAAATTTGTTCTCTTTGCCCCCAAAGCCAAGGACCATAAAAAATCGGTCCATGTTACAGAAGGGCAAATTGAGGCTGGATACCTGGAAAAATTCCCCAGAAATCTGAGCTGTCTCTAAGTGGAATGGGTGGCGAGGCTGGGCATAGTCATTTGTCAGGGATGTCTCTGAGGGACTAAACAGCACAGGCCCCCTGAGAGAATGTGCCGGCAAATGCCCTTTCCACTGACTTGGGGAGTACAGCAGCATCTCTCCCATTAACAACGCTTTTAAAAAACTGAGCACTGTAAAGAGAAGGCTTTAAAGGTCAAGCTGGCCTTTCAGGCCAAGGTCTGATTCGAGGGGTGTGACCCATTTTAGTCAGGCCCTGATCTATTCCTGGCAGACTGAACCCTTTTTCGTAGCATGACACTAGCTTTGTGAGGTTCCTCTCTAGTTTCTTCCTGGGCCGGTCTGTCTATAGTAGCTAATTTGGAAGCCCCTCACACAGCTCCAGAGCCCATAAAAGCAGCATGGCTGATAGACATGTGGTCTGCCCAGGGGGGCCAGCACCCATCCGCATGCAGGGTCACTTGTCCTCCCTGAAACAAGACCGTCTCCGGACTCCTCCGAGCCGAGGGTCCAGAAAGCAGTTGAAGGGTCTTTCTTTTTCAAACACAGTCCAGTGACTCACAAGCAAACAGAGGGAAGGCATTTCTGATGCCCTTCCCTTGGTTCCGCCACAAGCTTTGTTAGAGGGGAACCAGGACCAGGCAACATGCCGAGCAAAGTCTGAGTGAAAGAGCCCAGGGCCGGAGGAGCCCAGGGCTTGGGTGAGGTGCCCTCAGAGTGGTTCAACAGCGACCCCTCGTGGCCACATTGAGGAACAGCGACTGGGGAAGCAAAAGCCTTCCCAGCTCTGATTACAAGCATCTAAGGGGACTGACCTGGGATTGGAGGGGTAAGAGAAAAGTAAATGTAGACCTGTGATATCATTGGTATGGACTGAGCCACCACCACAGGGGAGCAATCCATCCTCATCCTCACCATTAGCATTTATAGAACACTTTAGAAAGCTTTCAAAGGGATTTACAATTATTATCTTATTTGATCCTCCTAAGAGCCCTGGGAGGAAGGTGCTATTAACATTCCCATTTTAAAGATGAGGAAACAGGCAGACAGGTTAAGTGACTTGCTCAGAGTCACAAAGCAAGTTAAGTGTCTGAACCTGGATTTGAACTCAGGTCTTCTGGTGCTCTACCCACAGAGCCACCAGCTGCTCCTAATACAACTAGTTTCCCCCTCACTATTTCTCCGGTCTCAGTCCCCTCCACACCCTCTGGGTCCCAGACTTATAGGCTTGCTCTGTGATCCTCACACTGGACACTTGTGTCTCTGCCCTGGCGCTACCTTCGAAGCCCAGCCTGGGCTCCCTACGTGGGCGGGCCCCTTCTCCATGAAGCCTTCCTTTGTCCTCCTCACCCCTCCACCCCTAGCGGTTTAATGTCCTTCCCTTTAAAGTGACCTTGAATCTACTTCATCTGTATCTTGCGGGTTCCTCGGACATACATGCTGCTCGTTACTCCGCTAGAATGGAAGCTCCCTGAGGGACCATTTTGTCTTTGCCTTCGTAGCCCTAGCACTGAGAACTGTGAGGGACCCGCTGGGGGTCCCTCAGCCTGGCAAATTCACCCTTGAACTCAGTTACTTCGTTCAGCTAAGAGGCAAATGCACTACAAGACATGATAGGGTGTTTTTTTTTAACATTTCCAAATATAAGCTGTTTTTAAGACACTCCTGAAAACCTGTCAGTATGGTGATAGGCAGCTAAGTACTGCAGCAGATAGAGCGCCAGGCCTGCAGTCAGGAAGACTCTTCTTTGTGAATTCAAGGCCGGACTCAGACACTTGCTAGCTGTGTGACCTGGACAAGTCACTCCACCCTGTTTGCCTCAGTTTCCTAACCTGTCAAGTGAGCTGGAGAAGGAAATCGTAAACCACTCCAGTACCTTTGCCAAGAGAACTCCAAATGGGGTCACGAAGAATCAGACGTGACTGGAACAACTCAATAATGAATAACCTACAGTTACAACATTAAGGATTAAGGATTGCCTTTCTACAACACAGTGTGGCCTCACAGATAGAGCCAGGCTCAATGACAGGAAGACCTGGGTTCAAGTGTCACCTCTGATACACACACAGTGGCTGGTGACCCCAGAGGAGGGACCACCTGCATTGGCAGACGGCGTTTCCTCACCTGGACGGCCCCTACGGCACTGCAGTCATTAGATCCCTAGTGCTCAACAGAACCCGGCCTGACCCACACTGCTCTCCGTCCCGATCTCAGGACTTGATGTGAGTGTGATGCTCGGACCCCACGCTGGACAGATTCAAGTCGGGGAAGGCATAAAGAGACAGCAGACAAGCTGCTTGCAGAACTTACCATCCAGACCAGAAAAGGAGGAGTGAAGTGACTTCCAAATAAAACCAGTTCTGCAAAGGGCTTAGGAAAGCCATTAATTCTACCAAGCACAAGTGGGCACAAGGGTACTAACAAAAATCAAATAAGAGGGAAAAAAATCTTCTGAAATGCACATTTTAGAACATAAAAGGGAAAAGAAAATTAGGGGAAACCCAAAGAGAAAAGTGAGACACAATCCACAGGCACCTTAAAGACTAAGGTAAAAGCATCGCCAACGTTATCCTCGAGGAGCCCCGAGGCCTTCCTAGGCCCAGGCCCAGGGAGCTGTCTGCTCCTCACCGAACCAAGTGGAAACGGGGCCTGCCAGGATGAGCTAATCCACTGCTCGGATCGCCACGGATGGTTTGCATTTCCTCTTGAAAATGAAGAGGAAATACTTGATCAGAACGGAGAACAAGACTTCGGTCAACAGGATCCCCAAATCGCTCTTGGGATGTTTTATTCAAGCTGATTAATACAATAGGAAATGGATCTACTTCCAGTGTGACCTCAAAGACGGGCCTGGGTTACACCCAGAACACAAATCGGGGCTTTCTTGACGAGAAATGGCAGAGGACCTACTCAGTAAAAGCCAGGGCTGGGGAACCTTCTAGGAGCCCACAGCACCCTCTCCTGGCGACACGTGCAGGGGAGTGTAAGGCGGGCTGGGCCCCACGCTCTGAGAAGCCAAAAACGCGCTGATTCAGGTCTTTATGTCCAGAAAAGTGGCACGGGATTAAAATGAGGCTGAGCACGCTAACACACAGTCTATGAACCGTGGTCAAGTCAATGCCATCTTGCCTCCACTTGTGCAGGAGGGAGACCCTCGCCCTCACTGTGTTGGCTTCCCATTGCCTTGAGACGTTCTGGCCCCATGGCACTGTGCCCCTCCCTCTGCCCCAGGCAGAGAAATCACTGCCTAGAGGAGGTTTACTGTTCAGCAGCATTTTAGAGCGAGCTTTCGTCAGCTGGGCATAGGGCCTGGACAGAAAATGTAAACCAGCCTACTGAACTTCAAAGGGAGACTCTTATATGGAGCCCAGATGATAAGTCAGGGTCTTAGGGCCTCAAGTCCCCAGCCCGGTCCCCATCACAAAACCAGGGACACTGAACAAAATCAGTCCCTATGAAAACCAGGGCATTTTAAAATTTGACAGCCAGCAAGGGGGGGGGGGCTCAGGAAATCAATTTTCCCTCCAGAAAAGTAGGTATCAATGATCCCACATAGCCCAAAACTACCAGGGAAAGAGAGCTGGCCCTAGAGTCAGAGGACCTGGCTTCAAATCCTGCTCCCAGGGTGACTTAAAGAGAGATGGCTTCAACTCTCTCTTCTCAGTTAGAAATGAGGGGCCTGGAAACACACAGGTGTGCAGACTGCAGCTGCAGTGAGTCCTGCTATGTTATGTTCCAAGAAGTTGGAAGGGGTACACATGGCGCTCCCTTTGTGGGGCGGGCTCTCATTCTGGAAGGACTTTTCAAGACGAGCTGCCTCTACTCCTTCCTGGTGCCAGCTGATGTTGAGACTGACCCCTGCTGTGGGTGCACACCTACAGATCACCCCCTCGAAGCCTTGTAGCTAAAAGCACCTCCACCCTGGGCTTTACGGGAGGGAGTGTGGGCCCCGCTGGCCAAAGAAAGAGCCCTCCTGCATCACCTCTGGCCTCCTGTCTTCAGGGACCCACTGAGACCAGGGAGTCCTTGGCTCAGCTGCACACCGCATTTCACCACAGCAGGCCGGACTTTTGGCGTCTGCTGGGGCTCCTCAAGCTCCAGGTCTGGGGCCTGAAGTCACTTCACCTCCTCAGGTCCTCTCTCAGTCCTGTCTAGTTCTCAATTATCTGATTTTTCACAAAGTAACACAAAGCAATCCGTTCTGCTCTGGAGTCGCGTTGGGCATATTCGGTGAGTATCCAGGGGTCATCAAAGTGGGGCTTCAAAAATCAATGAATCAGGACAAAACACACGGTATGGACCCAGTGACTGAGCTGACCAGACCACTGGGCCAACAGGCGGTTTGGCAGCCTTGGGTCAATGAGGCTTTCTGAGTTTGAAAAAGAGGCAGCACTCCCAAGCCCTGGCCCTGGGGGCACTGGCTGGCTAATACTCCATGAAGAGGGACCCCAGGCCTGGCTCCTCATACTGGCAGGCATCCAGGCCGTCTCACGCACAAGTGTATTAGCAGGTGGCAGCCAGCCTTCACTCCACTCCAAGGCAGAAATGAGCATAGCTAAGAGGAATCCTGGCCACATCTTGCCAAAGAGGAGTGGGGCCAAAAGCACGTTCCTCCGTGGTGCCGGGATACCCAGTGTGCCCACCAAGGTATTCCACAAGGCCGCTGCTCCCTACAAGGATGTGGGCCAACATGCTAAGCCCCACAGGAACAAGAGCCCCAGAAAAATCAAAGCATTTGCTCGGCCCCTAAACCCACACGTTTGGAGAAGAGAAAACAACAAGTGATAAATAAGGGTCCAGCTTTTAGAATTATAAATGTAGGAAGGCCTAAGCGTTTCTACAATGCATATGAGCGCTCAGTTTTACAGTCAATGATTAAATTACCTTCTCTGTAGACTTGGGGGACTGTTGAAGCTTTTCGTAATCTTTCTTAGTCTCTAAGATCTTTTTTACGAGTCCACCTGTTGAAAATCAATAGTCTTATGTTGTAATGACCACAGTAATGATAATGTTAGACATTTATCAAGCGTTTTGAAGTTTGCAAAGCCCTTTACACATATCATCTTAGGTATTTTTATCCACATTTTACAGATGCAGCAACTGGGGATCAGCAAGGTTATGTGACTTGCATATAGTCATTCAGCAAGTAAGGGTGGGAGGTGGGACTGGAACTCAGGTCCTCCTGACTCCAGCCCATCCTTCTCTCCACGAGGCCATGTTCTTGTTTGCTCCTTGCCATAAAGAGACAGGTAGATAATCTAAGCCTCACTTCTAAATTTGTTTCTCTGGGCTGACAGTAGGTTAGGCCTCGCCTGAAGCTGCACCTGGGGCAGGGGCTGTCACTGCTCCCTTGAGGCCCTGACTTGGCCCTGTGGGATGGCTGGTCTATACTCACTGGTGAGCACCACCTCCCTAGGCTCTACTGCTACTGGTGTGCAGAGGATCGCCCCATCCCTTAGGGGCCCCAGGGACCTCCGTGAATGAGCCAGCTAGGGGACAAGGAGCTGGAGCTTCCACCTCTCCCCACAACTGCTCCCTCAGGGCGACCACCTCCTCTCCTTCTCCGCCAGCCTCCTCCTCTGGCCTGCCCTGCCCCATCTGCTCTGCCTTCACCCACACCCTCCACTCCAGCCACCCTGGAGGGGGAACCAGTCGGCTCCCCTAGGCCATGCGCCTCCTTGGAAGGCCAGAGCTTCAGTAGCTCCGATGCAATCTCACTCATGTACAGTGGCCCCTCCCCCAGAGGCTCCCTCAACTCCCATTTCCTCAGTGTCCTTGGATCTCCTGAGGAGGGCCCCCCCACGGCTCTCACCAGTGCCCACAAACATTTCATTTCCTAATTAACAACAGCCACTCCTCTGACCCCAAGCCCCTTACCTTCTACCCCTCCAGACGCCTCCCTCCCCAGCCCCTGCCAACCCCCAGCCTTCACTTCCCTCCCTCTCCCACTGTCAGCTCCCATGGGTTTGACTGTGATCTTTGTGGGAATAACTCCCAGATCCCTATATCCAACCTCAGTCTCCCTCAACACTTCAATCCTACACGACTGAATAATGGGGAATGAGCACTTATGTAGCACCTACTGTGTGCCAGGCACTGCACTGAGCACTTTACAAATGTCATCTCCTTTGATCCTCACAACAACCTTGCTCTTACGATCCCCATTTTATAACTGAGGAAACTGAGGCAGACAGACGTAGACAGAGGTGAAATCACTTGCCCAGGGTCCCACAGAGAATGTAAAAGTCTGAGGCTGGATTTGAAATCAGGTCTCTCTTTCTGCCTCCAGGCCCGGCGCTGCGGTGCCCTCAGAAGCTTCACTTCTGTCTCATCTTTGCTCTTTCTCTTCCTCTTGGCCTCGGCTCAGCTCCCATCTAAGCAAAGTTTCTCTAACCCCCCCAGTTATTAGGACACAGCCCCTTCTCAAATGCCCTTGCACTCCCCCATATTTCAGCTTGTTTTCTTCCCTCCAGAAGGCCAGCTCCTGGAGGAGGCCCTGCCCCTTCCCTCCCTCCACACGCCCAAGGTCAGGGTCCAGGAAGGCGACCTCGCTCAGCCCAGGGGCTGGTGAGTTCTGACTGCTGCTCCAGCTTTCTTTACTCTACTCTGTTAGAGCAGCTGATTGAGTGAGAACTAAAAGCCAAAGGAAATGCTGGGTGGCCGGGCCGTGGGAAATGGCAGCACTTCCTATGTGTTGCCTGAAGTGATCTGGGGCTCCTCTCGCTCTGTCTCTCTTAAAGAACAGAATAAGCTCCTTGAAGGCAGGATTGTTCTCTGCCTTGGTCTGTGCATCCTCAGAGCCCAGCATACAGTAGGGGCTTACTGGGAGGGCAACCAAACTGGTTAGAATAGTTTATTTTTTCTTCCTCCAGTTCCTGACAGGGAATGGCACAAAGCAGAGGCTTAATAATGGCTTGATGAATGATTGAGCCTCATGACCCTAGAACAGTGGTCCACAAGAGACCCAGTACAATGAGTAGGTCTACAAGTGTTTCCAGGAGCTCTATTTGGGGGGGAGGGGGTCTGCTGGGAGTCTCGATATTAAGTGGGCAGCCTGGATTCCTGTCTTTGAAATGCCTTCTCCTGTGCCTTGGTAGCTGCTCTCATTACTTTCAAAGTTTTCTTCTCAGCTCCTAAAACTTTTGAGGGCTCAGATGCTTACTCATCCCATGGGCAGGGCCCCCATGAGGATGGATGGAGGAGTTACTCCCCAAATGCTGCCGAACAACTATGGCCACATGCTTTGGGGTTGGGGCCAAGGTGGGAGGTGGGGGTGGGCTTCCTCAGCTCAAAACCTTGCCCATAAAAGAGCTACAATTTTAAGTAATAACAGCTAATGAGGCTCTGGCTCATTCTCGTAGCTGCTTTCCCTGATTTAATGAAACATTTCGTCGTCATAAAATGGTCCTTGAGAGAGGACCTGAGAAATGTTGAAAAAGTCTGCTGTGCATACAGCACTATGCTGGGCATACAAAGCCTTGTCCCAACATGCCTCTTCCCAAGGAGCCAGCCTTCTGTGGGTCAACCTCATTTTATAGGTGAGGAAGTAAAGATGATCAGGTCAGTTCCAAAGTGGGGTCAGACATCACAAGGCAGATTTCCTGACTCCCGGACCAGTGAAGCTTCCCCTACACCCATAAAGGGGCTATAGACACCCACACACAACAGAGAAGCAACAGGACCCAGTTACCAGTGTCCTGGAGTTGGAGTCAGGAGAAGCCCCCATTCCTATCTCTGCCTCAATACCAGCTATGTGACCAGCGAAAAGTCTTTCTGAGAATCAGTTTCTTTATCTGTAAAAGGGGAATCATGCTATCTCCTTCCCAAGGCTCTCACATGAACCCAATGAACCAATGTAACTGCCTAACGTATGTTCAAGGGCTACATAAATACTCGGGATTGTCATCCTTTTCCTCAGCACCTAGTACAAAGGTTACCCTTCAGAGAACAAAGCCTGATGACTACCAGAGACAGGAAAGCCCAGAGTCAGATGCAAAAAGAGGCTGTTAATTTTCCTTAGGTCTTTTGAAAATTGTGTATTTGTCACAATTAGGAAAAAGCAGTAATTTTTTTTTCTTCTTTTTTGTTTTGTTTCCTCTTTCTTGTGGTTCCTACTATTGGTTCTAATTCTTCTGTACAACATAACTAATATGAAAAAATGTTTAATAGGAACGTGTATGTAGAGCCTCTATCAGATTATATACCATCTTGGGGACGGAGGGGAGAGGGAGGGGGAGAAAAATTTAAAACTCAAAAGCTTATGGAAGTGAATGTTGAAAATTAAAAATAAGTTAACTAATAAAAAAATAAAAAGAATTCCTGATGAAAAGACCAAAAAAAAAAAAAGAAAAGAAAAGAAAACAAGTAAAGAAACACAGCTAAGTTAGAAAAGTGAAGTAGAGAGGGCTGGGGGAAGGAGGAAGAAAGAGGAGGGGCAGAGGGACAGGAAGTCCGCAGACAGGCCCAAAGGTGGCGAACCATCAGCCAGTGGGCTTTTCTCTGTGTGTCTGGTGTCTGGTAACCTGTTGGCATGGGTCTGCCTCAGGGCTAAGGGGCTGGGCAGCATCTCACTCCTTATTGTCTGTTTCTTTGCTGGTTGTTAAATCTTTAATTTTTGAAAAAGTGAAGTAAGGAAATAATGAGAATCAGGCAGAACATACCGTGCTTCTCATCTTCTTCTAATTCGATGGCTGGGGCCTGGACAAAAAGGGGAAACAGACAAAACACAAACCAGGGTGAGTTCTGCTGCCTTTCTGTCATCACACCCATTGGAGAAACCCAAAGATACAAACAGAAACATTAAAAGACTTGAAAAGGAATCCCCACGTTAGAAAAAACCAGGCCAGCTCATGCAACATCCCTTCTCAAGGAGGAAATGCTCCACGTGCTGCTGGAACACAGGGAGGTGCAGAGGGCGAGCTCCCCAAGGGCTCACTTCCCTCACCGTGTCCATTTCCAGCATGTCGGAGAGCTGGGGAGCGGCCTCCACCACAAACTGGCTGTCCTCTTCGTCGTCCGAATTCTGAGAGTCGATAATCACGTTGGACACCACCTTGCCACTGCCCGTCCTGAGGAAAGTAAAACTCCCTTTCATCAGGATTTAAAATTAGCCACTTTCTTTAGGATGCATGAAATAGCAGAACCATGTCATTTTTTGGAGGTGATTTTAATGACTCTCTCCTCTAGAAAACCACATCTGTTTTGGGTCTGCCCTCAGACTTCTATTTACACTCAGGTGAGCCACCCCTGCCCTCATGACCGTCTGCTTTGGTTTCCTCCTCTGTACAATGAGGATCACAAAAGCACCTACTTAGCAGGCTTGTTGTGAACAGAAAGAGAGGAAGGAATATCTGTAAAGGGCTTCTTGAACCTCAAAGCACTCTAGAAATGCTAAGAGATTAGAATCTCTCAGTCTTTCAAAACTTAGCAAATGCCATCTTAGACACACCAGGAAGCAGGCACCATTTGTGGAACCAGCTCAGAACCAGCAGCTCTCCATGGAATCAGAAACTCACTTTAATCTTCTTGTTTTAAACATCATATTCACTTCCCAGATAGCAACATGTCTATAGCTGGGGAGGGCAGGGAGTAGGGAGGTGGGCTTGGAGGCAGGAGCCAGAGTTCAAATCCTGCTTGAAACACTTACTAGCTGTGTGGCCTTGGGCAAGTCACTTAAGCTCTTCCTATCTACAGGTTTGTTGTGAGGATCACGTGAGATGCATGAAGCTTAAAGTCCTATGTAAATGATTGTTGTTGCTGTTGTTACTACTACTACCACCACCACGCTGCTGTTCAGCCATTTCAATCATGTCCAACTCTTTGTGACCCCATTTGGGGTTATCTTGGTGAAGATACTGGAGTGGTTTGCCATTTCCTTCTCCAGCTCATTTTATAAATGACTTTACTCATTTTACTACTACTACTACTACTACTACTACTACTACTACTACTACTACTACTACTACTACTACTACTACTACTACTACTATGAAAATTTTGCAAAAGATGCTGGCCAAAAGCCATACAAATTTGAAGTGACTTGATGGGCCCCTAGCTCTTTCTGATTGAATCGGTAGGATCTAACAATAGCAAAATGTAATTTTATCATACTTATAGTAAGAACCGCGAAGAAATCTGGCTTGAGTAAGCCTTGTATAATTTTTCAGTTTTTCTCACTGAATTATTTATGAAGAAGACTCTCTTGGATATGAAATGGCGATAGGAGAGTTGCTTTAAGTTTGAAAACAAAGTCAAGTCTACTTTGCATCTGAAGAACTGCGCAGGAATCGTGTGTAGATACAATGAAGGATATTTAATCAAAATAGAATTCTTTCTTCATTTTCCCCACGTGATTCCCTTTGAATATAAGTCTCTACCAATGGTCTGTGCCAATGACAACTACTGCAGCTTTGGGGGAGGCATGGGATTATTTGGCAAAACCTAAGTCTTGATGTACCCAGAATCAGACATCATCTGACTCCCTGAAACAAAATGACGATGGCTGGTCATGTTTCTTCCCAGTGGCAAGGGTCATGGGGTAACACCAGATTTGACTGAATTCAACCCATGGAGAATGAAGTCTCTAATTTATGGGGTCCACTCGTTATCATGCAATGTAACACTGTGTTTCCACATGTGAGCAAGGACTTCTCACCAAATGGAGACACACTGGCATTGTGTCTACACCCGTGCTTTTGTTGCGACACTGAGAAACACTGCCAATGAAAAGCAATGGGAGGTGCTGGACCATCTTAGAAGGCATTTATCACTGTCTCCAACATCTCTTCTCCCTCAATCTGACATCAGTATATGGATTACTTAGTCTTCTAATTACTCTGTCCTGTGGAGCTGTATGGCTTAGAGAAAACAAAGTTATTTCTAAGTCAGCAAAGTGAAATTAAGTCAAGGGTGGTTCGTGAAACAAATAATTAATAGCAAAAATCATATGATAAAGGAGAGTGAACAAGTAAGGAGAATTTCCCTGTAGTGCCGACTTGATTTGCCCATGTTATAAATGCTAGGTTGGAATGTGAGGTGCTCAAGAGGACGTGCAATGAAAACGCTGGCAATGCTTTTGTGCATTTTTCTGGAGAGAGGATCTGGAACATTTACTCAAACCCACTTTACTTGTCACCTCCCCTGGGAGTAATTTAAGAGGAAATTACATTATGTCACCAGAAGAGAGGTGACCACTGTTAGATGAGATTAGATGCCATTACTCCCAACATTCTTATGGTAAGTCACTGACAAATTGATGAACTGAACTCTGATGAGTCACCATCCTATAAAGGGTTACATAAAAAGAGGAGATCTTTATGAACTCCAGCCTTCAAAGTTATGTTTTTGATTATCTAGAGAGTCATAAGAATTCTCTAAAGGTGCATAAAAGAAAGTAACTCACAATTTGCTTTAATTGCAAGATTTAGCAAGCATCACGAAACAGTAAGTGTAAATACACTTTCATAGTGCTTTAAGACGGACCAGCACTTCTTTTCCTAACAGTTGTGCCTGCCCAGTCCCTGGGCCCACAGATCTCACCTCTCTGGAACCAAGATTCAGCACTTTCTTGTCGTTTGATTCGAGGCGGGGCTGGCCGGGCACTGCCAGGCTGAGGCATTCTCCTAAAAACAAACACATATGAGAAGCCCAAAGGTCACTGATTTTAAAACAGACTCTAAGAGGAAAAAAATCACTTTCATCAGTATTGGAAACAAGCAATGTTTTCTGCCTACCGGCAAATGTAGCAGGCCACATCCTACAGAAGACCCCCTGGAGAGGCAGCTAGGTGAGTGTAGCCCAGCAGAGGGAGCCTGGAGTCAGGAAACCCCGAGTTCAGACACTTACTGTTTGTGTGTCCCTTGACAAGCTACTTCCCCTCGGTGTACGTTGGTTTCCTCACTTGTAAAATGGGGATCATGATAATAATCGCTCCTATCTTAAAGGGGAGACACACACACACACACACACACACACACACACACACACACACATGCACGCACACACACATGCATACATACATGCATACATACAGTATCTGGCAAGCCCTGAGGTGTGGATGTAGGGACCTGAAGTAAGACACCTTCCCAACAGGCTCAGTATAGCAGGTGAGCCCTCAGGTACCTGTGAACTGGAGAATATTGTCATAATCTAATAACTAGAGACTACTCCAAGTTCCATAATGACTTTCTAAACAATCTCAGGCTTAGGAATCATTTCCACAGAAAGGGATGCCATGTGTTGGCAGAAATACGACCTGACCCATATTAAATGAGCCATTTTCACAAATGCTGGTGAAATCAATGCCAGAACTGTGGGCACCAGACTCTGGTCCCCTGTTTCGGTGGTGTAACAATGGGCTATTGGTAGGAAGAAAAGAAAAACCACCCACCTCTGAGGGATGCCAGCTGCAAGTTCACTGGGCACCTCAGCATTTTCTGACATCCCCGGCTTCTCCTGAGTAACCATTCCAACGTCCTTCTAAATACATAAAGATCTGATCAGGAAAGTTGAAAGGAACCCAACCTATTAATGTAGGTCACATTTTTAGTTACGGTCGGTAGGTTATCAAGGAAAGCCAAGACTTCCGAAAGGACACAACCAAGCAGCAGTAGAAGAGAAACAAGCCAACCCGGGTTTTAAATCAGAGAATTCATTTCTACTCATGACCATTAAGGTCCAACTATCCCCCTTGCCACAATGTATAATGTGTTTCTAAGCAATGTCATGTGCATTTTTTAGCTGAGAAGCAGGGAAAGGTAAGAGAAAGGAAAGAGAATAAGCATTTATTAAGTGCCTACTATGCACCAGGCACTGTGGAAGCACCTTCTCAACACTCTCACATCTGAAAGGAAGAGGAAGGAAACCCTAGTCATGCAGAGAAGGTGTATGGATAACGAGAAGGGGGCCCAGTGGCAGGAACTGCTCCCCCACCTCCAACGCTCCCCCGGATCCCCACCAGGAAGCACACTGTTGGCTGCTTTCCGCATCACCCTTTGGCAGTACGAAGTGAAATGATGTTGAAAATGAATGTAAATGAACACTGCATAAAGCTTCACTGTGGAGCCCCTAGTAAGGGAAATAGACCTCCCACCACCAACAATATTGGAGGACTGAGGAGTTCACACACCGGGAAGAATAGGAAAGAGACTTCTTCAGCACCTAGCCACAGTCCACAGTATTTGCCTTCTGCCCATGGACAAGGAAGTGTTACCTATGCTCAGGTGCAGGCTGGTCTTGCTCCAAAGGGAGCAGCCGTCTGCTTGTCAGGTTAGTAGGCAGGGACAATAAAATGCTCCATGAGCAAAAACCCCAAAGGCTTTAAGGTTAAAACAGCAAAGAAAATAATTCAGAAGAGGCTAAGGAGTAATCCTGGTAGGTGGAAAGAAACAGAAGGGACTGTCAATAATAACAGAATAAAGGCATCAAAAATGAGATTTTCTAGATGTCTACATAGGCATGCATGCGTGTGTGTGCATAAATAACCAGCTGCCATTTATTCAGGGTTTTAAGGCTGGCCAAGCACCTTACATATATTGTCTCCTGCCCGCACTATCATCGAGGGAATAGCAGCCCCCTCGGTGGTAGAGGAACAAGGGGCCATTGGTGGTATCAGAAGAGAGCTCACGTAGAGGGAGTCCAAGGAAGAAGGGACAGGCTGTTGGCCTTCTCAGGACAGAAGTTACTTGTCCACCTGATCCCACAGGGAGGAAGGCCTGCAACTGCTTGGAGCACACGCCTAAGACTCATCAAAACAGATGATCACTGCCTACTGTGGGAGGTTTTTATGGGGATAAATTCTATTCCCAGAGGAAAGCAGGAAGTACTAAGTCCCTGGAAAGAAACAAGACCAGAAGGTTACAAGGAGCGCTCTTCACTGCTGCCTACTGATGCAGGGGCATCAGGATACTCTGGAAGAGTCAGGAAGTCGCTAGGAAATGAGTGTCTGAGAAGAGGATTTGCATTTCTCGAGTGTGTCTTAAAACACAGGAATTCATCTTCCCAGTCAGTCAAGTTCTTACCTCAGCGCCTCCCTGACTCTTCCCACTCCCTCACTGACACATTCAATCAGCTGCCAAGTCCTATCCATTGGACACGTACAACCTCTCACGTCTGTCCTCACTTTTCCACACCAAAAGATCAAGGAACCAATAAGGGGAACTTCTTCTCCAAGTCTGTTTCAACAAGGACCTAGTTGCTCTAGGAGAAAGGATGGAAACAAACTGGGGAAAAGTGACCCCATTCCATCTTAGAATTCACAATGGGCAAAAAGAAAGCTAAGTGTAAGTGGGAATGCACCCTAGGTTTGGGGAAAGGAAATTATGCAGTATTCAGAGTGATTTGGTAACAATTCTACCGCCCATTTCTTAAGGCAAGTGGGATGGAAAGTTTTCAAGAAGGAAATTCTGAAAATGACAGTGGAAACAATTTCTCTGAATTAATAAATGAGGGAAAGGAAAAGAATCTGTCTGTAAAGACTAATGTGGATGAAGCAACGTTGATTTCTAAGCAAAGGGAGACAATTCAGGATGACTCCAAAACAGTGGCATGATCCTTTAAGCATAAAGGCAGCAAAGAGAGAGGGAGCATCACACTGTGGATAGAGAAAGGAGGACCGAAATTCAAATCCCACCTTTGACGGGTACTGGCTGGGTCCCTGGACAAGGGTCCCTGAACCTCTCAGTGCCCCCAAGAAATCCTCTAGGATCCAAGTTGCAAAAGAGGCACTGACCTACCCTAATGGAAGGAGTGTCCTTACTGGGCATTCCCTATACAAATGAAATCTCAGGAATGGACCAAAATAATAATAATAATAATGATAGCATAGTATAATAATTATTATTAACAATAATCCCAACCATGTCTCAAATCCTCAAGTACAGCATTTGCTGAAGCTGCCAGTGAAGGCTAAGGTCTGCACTATGGTGGATAAAATGTGGATAGGGTCAAATAGTTTGACGCTGATTTTATCTTTTTCTTCAAAGGTGGGTAATCTCTGGATGAGGAAGGAAAGAATAAGCCAAGGAAAAGCAGCAGTTCCTACAGAACTACGTCCCAAAGTATTGAAAGAATGGGTAAATGTGATTAGCAAGCCACCGGCAGTGATCGCTGACAATGTGGGAAGTGGGAGAGGTGCCACAAGACTGGGGAAGGGCAAGAAGTGTTCCAATGGAAAAAAGAAAAGAAAAGGAACAGGAAGAGGAGAAGGAAGAGAAGGACAGAGTCTGCCAAGTTCTGCTTTGTGGCCCAACTCCAGACAGTTTTATTAATGGGACAGTTAATGAACGTCTAACTCCAGTGAGCTGGCGTGACTTCACCGAGCCAGGCCATGCCATAACTTCATGGACGGCCAAGACAGAAAGGTCCCACGCAGGTAGAATGGGCAGAGATGGCAACAAGCAGCTGCCTAATGGCTGGGAACTAGCTAAACAAATTACAGTGTAGGCATGCGATGGATTATCAGTGGTTATAATAATGAATAGGAAACATCTAACACAGCACGGAGAAACTGCTATGAACTGCGGAAAAGCAAAGGAAGCAACACCCAGGAAATAACCCATCAACAATCATGTTAAACTATCAGGGGCTTACTGTGTGCCAGGCATAACACACACACATGCACACGCTAATATATGCATACACATGCGCACACACTTAACACATGCATACACATGCATGCACGCACGTATACACACACACACACACACACAACACACACACACACACACACACACATACTCCAATGTAAAAGAAAAGGAGAAAAAGAAAGTAAACCTTGCCTAGTTGGAATGAATAGCTGAGCTCAGCTGCACAGAAGGGATGAGACAATGAGCCTGTCCCCTTCATCACAAGTGGAGGCCTATGGGAATGGAGCCTGGCATACTCTGGCAGACTCACTTGATGTGTGCTGGTGACTTTCCTCCCCCTTCCTCTTTTATTCTTTGCTACAAGGGGAGAGGAGAAGGAATGTTGTGAAGGTGGGAAAGTGAAGGTGAAGTAAAAACAAAAGCTATCAATTAAACGTGTAAAATTTCAATTTCTAAAAGAGTAGAGCATGCCAGACTAAACTCAAGTTTTCTTTAAACCAGACACGGGAAAATTGCAAATATGCTTTCCCAAGATTTCTGCAGAGAATTCAACACAACGCCTTCTGTCATCCACACGGACAATACGGATAAATGCCGGGCAATGGCAGCAGCGGCAGAGGCAGCCGTAACCCAACACTGACAGGCAACTACAGGGAGCAATCATTTTATCCACCTGAGCAAAGAACATTCAACAAAAGAGCAACTGGAGGACAGCGACTTATCCCAAGACTCTGCTATTTAAACCCCATGGAACAAGATGAGGAAGCACTAACAGTGACGATTGTCATGATAACCCCCCAGTACCTAGGAGGTGACGCTTTTGGGGGGCCTACAGAGGACAGGCAAGCCCAGCCCGCAAACCACTGACTATCCCAGAAAAACAGCAGGAGAGCGACTTGTCCCGGTATCAGATCCACCTGAATGAAAAAGGAGACAGAAGAGGAAGAAGAGGAGAAGAGGAAGAAGAGGCGGATGGCTGAGACAGCTGATACACATGTAGCATTTCAAGGTGGGCTAAAGCAGCTTCTCAATATTGTTTTGTAACCAACACTTACATGGCATTTTCCCGTTTGGGAAGCACCTTCCATGATCTCACCGGATCCTCACAACAACCCTGTGAGGTCGGTACTATTATTATCTCCACTTAACCGAGGGTAAAACTTAGGCTTAGGAAAGTTAAATGACTTGCCTAGAGTAGGTGAATGAGGGAGGATTTGAACTCGGATCTTCCTAACTCCAAGCCCACCACACTACACATTGTGCCACATGCTGACTCTCCAAATTTAGGACAGATACTGGCAAAATGAAGTAGATTCAGAGAGTGGTCAATGGGGCCAACCAAAGAATAGTCTTAAATGGGAAATTGCCAACTCAGAGAAGGCTCTCGGGTAGAGCACCTCAGGTATCAGCACTCATGTCTAAGAATCCTGACCCTGTGCATTTGCTCCTCTGTGACTTGGAGATTTACCTCAACACTTGGGTGGAGGCAGAGAATCATAAAATTTTATAGTTGGAAAGGGTCTGTGCGGTCATGGGGTCAAACCTCTGCCCGTACTAGAATAATGGCCATGCAGCCTCTACAGGAAGGCCTCTGAGGAGGGGAGAGCCTCTCTTTCCCCCCAGGGGTTGACCCATTCCATTTCTGGACCTGGCTCGCCCTGTGACTCCCAAAGTTTACATGATCTCAACCTTCAATGTGCTCCTTTCCAGTTGGCTCCTATGGCTTCTGCCGCTGCTCTCTGGGCTCCTAGGGGTCAAGTCTGATGACCCTTCCCCCACCTGCAGGGCAGCCAATCCACGTGTCTCCTCCCAGGCTTCACTTCCTCAGTGGCTGGCATGAACGTTATTTGCTAACATCCTTGCATTTACCTATTTCTGTGTATTTTGCATCCCCCAATACAATTAAAATTCCTTGAGGGTGAGCACTTTTGGGTTTTGTGTTTGTATCTACAGGATCCAAGTCTTCCACATTAAGAGAGGGTTTAAGAAATTTTGCTGAATTAAACTGGGGGTGTGCCCTGGTCAGACTTGCTCCCGCAATGTATGGTTTGTCTGCCATTGCTCCTGATTTGATCCCCTGGTCCCGTTTCTCGAGTCTCCAAGCCAGCCTCTACTGCGCTGCCAAAAGGGATTTTCCTAAAGTGCAGGTCTGACACCCTGGCACAAAGCAGGCACTTAACAAATGCTGACTGACTGACTGATTGATTCTGGGCCCATTTTGAGAATGATATTGCAAAGCTGAAGAGCTTCCAGAGGACAAGAACCAGTTGGATGGTGGCTCCGGGTCTTGGAGGACAGCCCCACACAGCTCACTAGAAACAACTGGGAATGTTCATCCTAGAAAAGACTTATGCCAGGGAGCTGGATGGCAGGTGGACTGGGAGACAGATTAGAGGACGGAAGACTTGCTATCTGGACCACCGTGTTAGAGGGGAACTTGACATATCTTCCTCTGGCCCCAGGGGAAGAATTTAACCCAATGGATGATGTTACAAGGAAGCAGATTAGATAAATCCTCACAATTACAGGCAGTCCAAGGTGGAAAGGGCTGCTCTGGGAAGGAGTGCAGGTCATTTTCTATTTTTTTTTCTTTTTGGCTAGGCAATGGGGTTAACTGACTTGCCCAGGGTCACACAGCTAGTGTCAAGTGTCTGAGGCCAGATTTGAACTCAGCTCCTCCTCACTCCAAGTCTGGAGCTCCTTCCACTGCAACACCTAGCTGCCCCCATCTAGGTCACTTTCACTGGGGGGCGGGGGGAGGGAGGGGTACTTCCATCAAAGGCTAGAAAATAACTTTTGGAGAATGCTCTAGAGGAGATTCCGGTACGACTAGGGGGTATGGGGGTGGTCTGGAAGCCCTTCTAATTCTAGAGTTTAATTACTTCCAGTGGATGAGTCTGAAGCAATACCCATCACCTCACTATTCCTATTAAAGCACACAATACATGGGGAGCATGCACACGGGGGGTGTTAAAATGCGTTTGCTTCTACACAGGATGAGAAAAAGCTTACCTGCATCACTAGTGGAGTCACCTAAAAAGAAAATATATTCACTTTGAATGTCTACAGGAAGTAACCGAGCACAGCCCACTTCCAGAAACCCTCCTGACTCCTCGCTACAGCTGGACTGGCCCATGACAAAAATCATTCTTACCACTTGGCCTCCTCTCTGCTATTTCCTAGCTGTGGCCTAAAGAAGATCAGAGAATCACTTCCATGACTGAAATTCAAATGTACCATTTCTTGAAACATGGCCATTTATGTGTTTAACTTCAATATGTACATATGTATATTTCCCATTTCTTTCTTATTTTATGTACCTCATTGTCCAAAGGAAACATACCTACTTTGCTTCCTCTTAGGCAACAAGGCAAAAAACCACAAGTAACATGAAACTTGGGGGTCACCTGCTCCAGTGCTGGAGCCCACAGAATCGCTGCCAAAACACTGGAAAAAATCGGAGGTGAGACAAAGGGCTTTTTGATCCCCCCATCTCAACTGGCAAATCTTCATCCACACATTGGTAGAGGATGAAGAGAAAAAGAGGCTTTTTGGTAAGCTCAGCATCTTATTATATTCACATTCATATGTAAGCTACTTATACTGCGAGGGATACTTTCTCTGTTACCCACAAATGTTACATTTATTTTTAAGACTCTTTCAAGAAGTCATTCCCAACTTTTTTCACTATCCTTTTGAACCTTAAAAAACACCCCAGGCTGGCACTGACACTCTCAGAGTTTGTTGATTAAGAAAATGCCCAATGACAAAAGGCTTCTGTGAGTCTAGCAACGCTCTGAATGAATTAGTATTGCATTTATTCCAAGAGCTTCTATGGACATGGAAGGAGGTCAAGCTGGGACAAGCAAGTTAGGGTCTATGCCATCTACAGAAGGTACGTTTGTTCATTTGTCCACCAGGGCTGGGAAGCAGATGTTGGTGCTAAATGAAGCCCCCAAAGGAGGCCCCCCTCCAAGTCTCCTCTCAGAAGCTCAACAACCATCCAGCAGCCCTCAGTCCTCAGGCAAGAGCCACAAACTGAAAGCAATGTCACCAGAAGAAGGAGTTTCCTCCCCTGGGAGTTCCCTCAGCTCTGATCCTTCTCCACCCAGGTGCCCACCCAGAAGCCCAGCTGGAACTTGCTCCTACAGACAGACAGTTGAACAAGAAGGAGGCAGGGGCACTGTCCCTTCCCTTGCTGCATAACTGGCCATGGGCCCCTAAGCCCAGCTGGCGCTACCACTGTGCACCATGACTGAGTCTCCAATGACGACAAACTGGGCAGCATGTATACAACTACCCCCTACACACATGTACATACATAGGCAATACAATCCAATGCTCTCATTAGGTGGGCAAATGCCAAAGGGAAAAAAGAGCCTGCAGACCCCTCCCTGAGCAGCTTCTCATCTGTCTTTCAATCTGTTGAAGTCTCAGTGAACATTTCCAACATTAACAATCATCCCCTAAGTTTCTGAAATTGTATCCCATGGACACTAGCTCATTTTCCTCTTTTCCAGAAGATGAAAATTTGAGGTGTTGCCCTACACTCAATGCTGTTCATCATTTCCATGAAGGGAATACATGCTATCGCTCCAAACCTATTACCTAAGAGAGAGATGGAGCTGCTTTACTAAGGAATAATGTATCACTTGGAAACAAAATCCAGAAAAACGTCCTTGAGAATTCACAATTTTGAAAAGCCAAGACCCTGGCAATCTATTGTGGTTCAAAGTGACCCTTCTCTCTCTCTAGCCTAGCTTGGACCCTAGATTTCACATGCTCTGTTGTGCTGGAAATCAGATTTCTTGTTAAGATAGAGAATCAGACCTTTTCTGGCTAAGAGATAACCTGTGATGAGCTCAGGGACAAGTACCATCTAGAGCCTTGGCCCTGATGTCAGCGATGAGTCCCACAATGATGGAAAAAGCACTGCCAAAGAGGAGCCATGCACCATTTTGTGTTGAGATCCAAAGTGATGGCACAGCCAGGCCAGGGCTGGACTGGAGGTGAGGAAGCCCTAAGATCAGACATTGCTTCTAACCAACAAGTCCCTCCCCATTCTGCTGACCAGAGATGATGACAGATAGTGCCTACTTCATCAGCCATTTGGGGGTATGGGAAGGCTGCAATCAGATGGCATTTGTAAAGAGCTCTGTAGCCGCAGACCTTAGATGGCTATGTTTGGGAGCAGTAGAGAAACACCTAGATTTCTCTCTGAGGAAGCTCTTCAGAAGAGGCCCCTCCAACGGCTAGGGGCTCCTGGAGAACTCAAGTTAGGAGACACTCTCTCAGTGGCAGGAATCTTATAGTGGAGCCTCTAGGCATTCCCGAAAAGGGGCAGCCAGTTCAAATTCTTACCTTTGAGCTTGGCTGTCGGCTCAGGCTCCGCTTTTTCATGCCACATGCTAGCTGGGCTACTGTCTGAAACACTAGCTGAATGATTATTAGCTTCCTTTCTTCCTGACATAAAATAGCTTAGAATAGACATTTAAGGCTGTAATGTGAAATTCAATCAATTCAATTGCTGTCCTACCTGAATGCAACAGTGCTCTATATTAGCTAGTCAGTTATCTAATGTTATTTACCTATAAGGTTTCTGGTGGCAGGGAGAGATTGCTTGGAAATGTTCAAAGGTTTTAGTGATTATAGAAGTGGGGGTCACTTAGCTTCCTTGGTTATGGCACTGGGATAGAGAGGCAGCCGGCACAGTATTCAGAAATGGATGGTAAGCTGCCCTGGCTGAACCCCTAGGCCCTGCTAACCAGTCAAATGTGGCCATCCCACACTTCCCTGTGGTTCCTACCCCCCAACCCCATTTGTTCCCAGTTGGGATTTAGTGGTTCTTTCCTCCTAAGGGGCCTTGAGAGCGGGGCAGGGAGTTGATAGGCAGTTCTCTGGATGGGGTAGGGTACGGTAGGGAGAAGAATGGACTAAGTTGGCCCAGGTAAGTATTGGGTGGATTCATGGTAGCAAACTGGGGAGCCAGCCGATGTCACACGGGAACAGCAGTGGGGAATATTCCCAGGCGCCAATCCAAGCGACATGGGAGGTCTGAGCACCTAAATAGTCTGTTTGAATCAGAAGCTATGGCCCAAAGCGTGTAGAGTTGGCCAAATTCTCCAGCTCACTGATTCATTAACAACTTGTACAGGCTCAGAAGGAGAGAAAAAGAAAGATGATCCTAATTTATTTTTTCTTGCCAAAAGTAGTTTTTTAATGTTCAAAATTTTTCAAAGAAATAATCTGCAACACGAGAAGCTGTGTTATATGTGAAATGCTATAAATATCAGAAAAGGAAGTTGCTTTACTGAGTAGAACATAAAACTTTTAAAAAGTTAATGACAAACAGTATTTACTGAAAAGAAAACGATGATACGTAAACTGCTTTTGAATATTCCACTTCAGCAACTATTAATTCATGAAATTAAAACTGCTATAAATACACTTATAATTATTAAGTGAACTAAGAAGTCAAATGCTATAGAGCAGTTTTAGGGCACAGAATATGAATTAAGAAGAAAACACACTGTGAATTTCTCACTGTTTTTTTCATTTGAAGATGTGGTACTTTTTTTTTTCCTAACTAAAAAACTCACTGGCGGGGAGAACGAACCCTCAATGTACCTGCCTCTTATTCTAGTATCATGGATCTCAGTCTTCTCCTGTCCCAACAGAACCTTGTGCCAGGTCTACACCCCAAAGAAATCAAAGGAGGACAAGGTCTTACAAAAGTACAAAAATACTTATACAAGTACTTTTTGTGGTGGCAAAAAAACCTCAAACCAAACCCAAACTGGAAAATGCCTATCAGCTGGAGGAAGGCTGAATAGACTGCAGTATATGAATGTCAAGAAATAATACTGGCTCTAAGAATCGAGGAAAAGGATGGTTTCAGAGACGTGGAAAGACGTGAATGGACTGACGCCAAGTACAGTGAGCAGAAGCAGAAGGGCAATTTATACTGTAACTCAAATATTATTAAAAAGGACAATTCTGAAAGGCCTAAGAGCTCTCATCATCATTACCACCTTTATCATCACTATTTACATAGTGATGATTAACCAAGATTCCAGAGGAATGACAAAATAGAATGCGGCCTGAGGCAAGAAAAAGTGGGAGGTTGAGAATGCACTTCTGGCTGGGACTGATGCGGATCACACTAATGTGATACAGGGGTTCTTTCTTTTTTGTGGGTGAAAAAAGAGGGAAGGAAAAAAAATCACGCTTGATAATTGAAAAATAATAATACTAAGAATTTGAAAATGCTAAAAGAATTCAAAAGCAATATCATTACTAGGTCTGTATTCCAAAGAGCTCAAAGAAAAGGGGAAAGGACCTATTTGTGCAAAAATATTTATTGCTCTTTTTTGTGGTGGCAAAGAACTGGAAATTGAAATTGGAAAATTCTCCATCCATGGGGGGCACGGCTAAATAAGTTGTGGTACATGTTTGTGATGAAATGTTGCTCAGTGTTTCAGTGGTGTTTGACTCCTCTTGGCCTCATTTGGGGTTTTCTTGGCAGAGATATTGGAGTAGTTGGACATTTCCTTCTCCAGCTCATTTTACAGATGAGGAAACTGAGGCAAACAGCGAAGTGACTTGCCCAGGGTCACACAGCTAGGAAGTGTCTGAGCCCAGGTTTGAACTCCCAAAGGTAAGTCTTCTTGAATCCAGGGCTGGCGCTCTGTCCAGTGCACCACCTACTGTGATATAAGAAATAATGAGCAGGATGTTTTCAGAAACACCTGGGAAGACCTATATGAATTGATGCAAAGGGAAGTGAGCAGAACAAGGAGAACCATGTACACAATAATGGTAATATAACAATGATCAGTTGTGAAGACTGCGCTACTTTGATCAAGACAAAGATCTGAGATGATTCCAAAAGATCTATGACAAGAAATACCATCAGCGGTCAGAGGGAGAGGTGACAAAGTCTGAGCGCTGACTCAAACACACTTTTTAAACTTCCTTTATTATTCTGTTTGTGTGTGTGTGTGTTTTCTTTTACGACATGATTAATAAGCAAACATGTTGCATGACTTCACATACATTCAATATGTTGCCTTTTTGAGGGGCAGGGAAGAAGGGGGAGGGAGGGAAAGATTGGAACTCAAAATTTTTTAAAAAAGAACGTTAACATTTTTTATACATAATTGGCAAATACTTAGTGAAATAAAAATATATTTAAAAATGTAAAAGCAAACTCCAGCCTGACTCCCCCAGGCCCAGTCCCCTTCTTGGGTTGGAGGCTGGCTCAGATACATCCTGAGTGAGGCCCAGTTTCCTCATCTAAAAGGGGGGAAATTAGCACCTGCCCTACTTCCATGACAGGGTTGTTTTAGGGAAGGTGCTGAGCTTGAACTTACAGGCCCCTGTAAATGTGAACCATGGAGCTGTTCCTGTTCTAAACAGCAGTCCTTTAATGTGGGCAGTGCTCTGGATACTGATTATACAAGACAATGCTTGATAATCTGTCTCCACCTGCCCACCAAGGGAAACCTGAACCTTCTAACAAGGAGGAGGTTATCATCACAAGATAAATTCTTGCAAACAGACAGGTCATCCCAGAAGCCAAAGGAGGGCTCTTTGTACAGTGCCATCTTTTTTTTGGGGGGGAGGGGCACAGTTGTTAAGTCACAAGAGCTACAAGTGTTGGAACCAGGTATGCCACATAAAACAAAAGAATAACTTTGAAAAAATGCATGCTCTACTATCCACAGTGCAGGGGCAGCCTGCAGGCAAACAGACATCCCCTTGAGTAAGAATCTGCTACCAATTCTGAATCAGTAGGAAAGGGCTGAGGCCTTTTTCTCAGCAGCATCAGAAACACTAGACTTTATTTTAAACTGCAAAGCAAAGAGGGGAAAATTTTCATTTATTTTAGGTACTAAAGACCTAGGGGAGCTGTAAGGGCTATCTCCAAGCATCTGAAGGGCTGTTGGGTAAAAGAGGGCACAACCTGGTTCTTCTTGGCCCCAGAGGAAAACTCAGAGTACGATGGGTAAACTGTGTACTACAGTTGCCTTAGGCTCAACATCATGAAGAGTCTGCCCAAAGGGGAAGGGGCTGCTGGGGGAGGTCCTATGTCATGGGAATCTCAAACCAAAAGCAGCAGGTTCACTGATGGGTGGCAGGGCAGAGAGAGAGAACAGACTACAAGGCTTTGGACAAGGCGACTCTCTGCTCCCAGGGCCTCAGATCTAGTCATCAATGAGGAAATGAGGCATGGGAACCGACCTCTAAAACCTGCCAATGTCTACCACCAGGCATCCCTTGGCACTGTTCACTCACCTCTACACACCGGGTGGGCCCCAGGTACTACCCTGCCCAGGCCACTGGAGCCACTTTCCCCCAGCATGCCCTGGGAATACCACCCACTTTTAACCCTGACCTGTTTAACGTCCTGTTCCTTACAATACTCCACAGCAGGCCAGGTATGTGGGCCATGTCCCACCTGCTCTTCCAAAGAGACCAGGTGGACAAGCTGGTGAGGCGGCAGGGGCCTGAGAAGGCCCACAAAGGTTCACTATGGATGGGTTGGGAGTCTTTAACCCATTTTATCAGGGATGTCCAATGCCCTCTGCAAGAGCGCACAGAGAACGCGTGACGGTGACCAGGGGACATTCTCAAAGGGCTGAGTTGGTGCTGAGCGGCGCGATTGCCTTACCTATCTCGGGGGATGCTGTTTGCTGCTCCGGCTCTTTAACCAGCCCAGCCATTGTTGGATCTGAAATAGTCTTAGCTGAGCCAATATTATCCTCCCTTCTTCCTGACATAAAATATTTCACATAAAGTGTTAAAATGTGGTTTCAGTTTTTCAAATAGCTGACATGCTAATTTAATACCTAAATAAAGACAGAAAACACGGTGCTCTGGTGAGTGACGCTGACTAAAAGTGGCACCGCGTCATGGACGAAGCTTACGCAGATGGGATGGACAATCCCATGGGAAAGCCGTGCCAAGTGCTGCTCTGACACACTGTCTGCAACAGTTAGCTCATCCTAGAGGTCAGGTCCCCATGACAAAAATCATGAGCAGCCTTCGGGCAACAGACACGTATCACACAGCAGGCTCCCCCAGCTCAGCCAAAGAGCACAGAGGGGGCTCTCGGCCAGGCCGGGCTATGGCTTGGTGTGCCATCACCCATGCAGCCGGCCCCTCGCTGGAACACTGTATACTCCGTGGCTTTAGCTAAAGGAAGGAGAACACTCCTGGTTGTGTTTTGCTTTTTTTTTCCCCATGGAAAAGGCTGTTCTCAATAGCTGACATTCCTTTCTTCCCGACATGAAAACATAAAATGAAGTTTTGTGTTTGCTGTTGTTATGAATGGTGCTGCTGCTGCTGCTCCTGGGGGGCTTCCTTTAGCAATGTGTGTGTGTGTGTGTGTGTGTGTGTGTGTGTGTGTGTGTGTGTGTGTGTGTGGTGGAGGGGAGCATCTGTTCTGCATCTTGCAGTGTACAAGAGTTGCCAAGGGCCCTGAGAGACTGAATGGTGCAGGCTCACCCATCAGCCACTGTCAGAGGTGGGCCTTAAACCTCATCTTCCCAACACTGAGGACAGTTCTCTGTGCAGCGCACAGGGCTGCCTCTCATGCCGTTTGAGGCACACATTCAACACATAAACACAGAAGTGTCTATTGCCCAAAGGACATGCCACACCCATGCCCTAACTGAAAGGAGTGACCTATGAGTACTCAGAGAAGAAGACAGTCTCACAAAGCCATACCAGTGTTCATGAAGGCATCCACTACCCACACTGCTAGCCAAGACAATGTCCCAGAATCCCCCAGGCCACACCGGGCTTTTCCCATGTCACACAGCATCTGGGTACAAAGTGCAAACAAACAGCTTTAAGACCACAGGCATTAGCAGAGAAGTCCAATGGAGCGTGCCAGGAACAGGACTCCCATGCTGGGGGCTACCCCGGCCATATCAATTCAAGACAAGGCCAGAGGAAAAACTCATCAAGGTATGATGCTGGGCCCTTCCCAGAACTGCTCAGATCATCCACAGCCCCAGCAGGAAACAGCTGCCACTGTATCCTAGGCCCCTCGACCCTACCAGCATCCTTCCTCCTGGCTGCCTCACCTTGACCACTCCCTGCAGGGGCCCCTGATACCCTGGTTCCCAGGTTGCTCCAAGTCCCTTCTTGGCTTCCTCTTCCTCCCCAATTGCCTTGGTGTGCATTTACTACATATAAGTACATATAAGGCTCATCCTTGTAAATCTGCCCATTAGCCCCCTTAGAACGGAAGCTCCTGGAGGGCAAAGACTGCTTCTCTTTTGTCTTTATAGACCTAGAAGTCAGCCCAGTGCTTAGTATACAGTAAGGGCTCAATGAATGCTTGTTGACTGACTGATTCCTCACTTCATCAAAAGGAAAAGCACGTTTCCACTCTAATCGCTGCCATTCCCTCACTTGGAGCTTCCTACAGCCGGCAGAGCCGTATGAAGACCAGGAGACAGAGCTGAGTCCCCTGTGGCTCTGCGGTCGAGGATGAAGATTTACCCCATGAACTCACTGCAGATGGCATTCGGAGTTTATCCACATAAGTCCCAGGGGTCAATGACTCCTTGCCTCCCCTGAGCATCATAGCCCTCACTTATGACATGGAGACAAGGAAGATGCGGTACCTCCCCGGGCAGACTGGGGAGTAACAACTCCATCACCAAAGCGAGATCTGCACATCTGGGGGGCCGGCAAACCGGGTACTTTCTCCTAAACAAAACGTAACTCCTGCATTCTCGTGCCAGAACCGGGAGCAAGTTATGAGTGATGTTCAACTCAAATACTAAAGCTAATTTAAAACTGTTCTGCTGGGAGTTTTAGAACTCTTAGTCACTCGTTCATCCATTCACCAGCCATATGGGAAAAGCCCTGTGCTCGGCACTGGGGGAGAAGCAAAGAAAAGGGCAGCACCGTCCCTGCTCAGGGCAAGCAGAAAGGTGACTTGGGTAAGGACTCTCCCAAACACACACACATCTACTCTAACGAGGCCACACGGCCAAAGTGCAGCACAGACTGCGGGGAGGGCCTGAGGGCGGTGCAGAGCGAGGCAAGGTCTGAGGGCCAGCATGCTCATCCCGGCACCAACACTCAGGCATTCACCAAGCACCTGATGCGGCTACAACGTGCCAGAGGCTGGGCACAGCAAGTCAAAAACAAAAGCCCCTGCCCACACTGGGGGCGGAGGCGGGGTGGGAGGAGAATAACATGGACACAGAACAGTATATACAATGGACATATCAAGTCTATCCCCAAGAACTTCCTAAGGCCGGGCCACCAGCAGGTGGGAGGATTCTGGCTGGGCTTCCTGCAGGGGGCCTTTGGGCTGTGCTTCGAAGGAAGCCAGGGATTCCAGATGACGGTACAGAAAGTGCACCCACATAGTGGGACGTCACATATGGCCTAAAGCAAGGAGGCCGGTTTGGCTGAAAGCAGAGTGCACGAAGGAAAAGCATGTGCAATCAGCCTGAAAGGGTAGGCAGGAGTCAGAGTGTGAGGGGTTTTCAAGGCCAAACAGAGAGAGCTCTGTTTTCTCCTGGAGACAAGAGGGAACCACCAGAGCTTCCTGAGCTCATGGTCAGACCCGGCCTTTAGGAGCATCGATTTGTCAGTGGGGGGGGTGGATTGGGATGGGTAAGAGGACAGAAGTAGGATAAGAAGGGACCTTTATAAACAACTTCCTGGTGGTCCAAGCTAGAGGTCAATGATGTTTAATCATTGGGCCACTTAGGATCTAGAGGTCATTCTGTCTTCAGACTATACCTCAGTTTCCCTGAGGTTTTGTAGGCCAATGAAGAATAGTTTTCTTGGGGCAGCTAGGTGGTACAGTGCATAGAGCTCCAGCCTTAGAGTCAGGAGGACCCGAGTTCAAAGCTGGCCTCGACACTTGATACTTACTAGCTGGGTGACCCTGGGCAAATCACTTAATCCCAATTTCCAACAGTTTTCTTAATATTTTTGGGTATCAAGGTGTTTCTTGGGGAAAGCAAGTTCTATAATAATACAGAGGGAGGGGTAAGGTCATTTGAAAATGGATCAAAGGATTGGCTAGTGGGCTCTGAGGGAACAGCTGGTAGCCTCTAAAATATTAAGAGCACACAGAGAGAGACAGATGAGAAACCTGCAGTGAGACTTAATTCTCAACTATTTGAAGAACTTCAAAGTCGGTCTATCACCTTTCACGTTAAAGAGAAGAAACTGGGCAAACGGCAAGAAAAAGAGAGGTCTCCAGGGCAGCAAAGGAGAGGCCCTGAGCCCTGAGCTCAGAGACACAAGCCTGGAGACCACCTTCTCCGAGGAGCCGAAGGGATGCCAAGCCCTTGGCCAGCATTCTGGCAGCACCCAACATGAGTTAGCAGACTAGACCCCAAACTCCCCAAAGCCTATTCGGACGTGCATCGGTCTGATGGAAGTTTCCCATTACTCACACTCCGACAATAATGTTTCTGGTTTGGGATGCACCATTATCAGCTCTCTAACACTCTGTTAGTCCATAGTAGTGTTAATCTGATGGTCAGTCCTGGAGAGTGAGGTCAGGGTGTGTCTGGAAGCCTATTCAGAACTGCTCAGCACACCACCACAAATGTCCACTTGGAGGATGTTTAGTTCCAAACCAATGTCCCCAGTAAAAGGTAAGAGATGTGTCTCTTGCATGAAGATTTCCTCCATAGGTTGTCATTCATTTCTTGACTCCCCCACACCATACCACACTATACCACATTGGAATTGATTCCTACCAAGAATATGCACTGGAGATATCTCCTACTACATTCTTGGGGCTTACAGTCAGAAAGCTTCTTTCTCATTAAAACCATGCCCTGTGACGATCCCCAAAACAGAATGGAACCCCCCCAAACGGTGCACACTGCAGACAGTTTTAAAGACTAGAGTTCTCAAAGTACCTTCTGCTGGATTTTTGGATCGCCATCTTGATCCTTTTGCTGTCAACGACCTAGACACTCGATTGGCAAGGTCAAGCTTAAAGAAAAGAGAAAGGGAGATATCAGAAAACAATAAACAGAAACACTCATTTTACAATCAATTTAAAAAACAACAAAGCTGGCTTAAAACATTTGTCTTTGGGAGCATATAAAGCAGCAAGGCACATAGAGTGGAAGCCCTGCTGGCCTGTCAAATCTCATTCTGCTATGGGAAGCAGGTTAAATTGGATGCTTAACATAAACAAGTTTGTATATACATCTCTATAAAGTGTAGTGCCACAAAAGAAAGTGACACTATAGAACCTCTAGCTAGGAGTTGAATTAAGCGACTTAAATAAGAGTACAGTCTAGACAGTTTACATTCTCATATAATTTTGTGATTCCAGACTTTTCATACAAGAGAACAGCTAATTTTCATTTCGTAAAAACAGAAAAAGGACAAAAGAGTCCAAGTAAATGACTAGTTTTTGATGTGCAAGGCATTTGGACCTCAGTATGTTAGCTATGATAGCACTTGTTTACATCTTTTTTTTTTAATTTTAATTTTTATTCTTTTTTTCCCTTTTTTTACACCAATTAATTTTAGTTTTCAACATTCACTTGCACAAGATTTTGAGTTCCAAATTTTCTCCTTATCCCTCCCCTCACCCCACCCCAAGAAGGCATGCATTCTGAATACCCCTTCTCCTAATCTGCCCTCCCTTCCATCTACCCTCCCCTTTTGTTTATCCCCTTCCCCTTCCATTTTCCTATAGGTTAAGACAGATTTCCATAACCCATTGAGTGTGTATGTTATTCCCTCCTTAAGCCAAATTCAATGAGAATAAGATTCACTCATTTCCTCTCACTTTCTCCCGTTTCCCCTCCACTGTAAAAGCCTTTTCTTATCTGTTTTATGTGAGATAATTTACCTCATTCTACCTCTCCCTTTCTCCTTCTCCCAGTATAATCCTCTCACCCCTTAATTTTATACTCCAGATATCATACCTTCATCTTCAACTCACCCTGTGCCCTCTAGCTATCTATCTACCTACCTATCTGTCTGTCTATCTATCTATCTATACATATAATTTTTTCCCCCTCCAACTACCCTAATACTGACAAAGGTCTCATGAGTTACAAATATTATCATTCCATGCAGGAATGTAAACAGTTCAACCTTAATTAAATCCCTTATGATTTCTCTTTCCTGTTTACCTCTTTGTGTTCCATTTGAGTCTTGTATTTGAAAGTCGAATTTTCTATTCAGCTCTGGTCTTTTCATTAAGAATGCTTGAAAGTCCTCCATTTCACTGAATGTCCATTTTTTCCCCTGAAGAATTATACAGTTGTGCTGGGTAGGTGATTCTTGGTTGTAATCCTATCTCCTTTGAGCTCCAGAATATTATATTCCAAGCCCTCTGGTCCCTTAATGTAGAAGCTACTAAATCTTGTGTTATCCGGACTGTGTTTCCACAAAACTTGAATTATTTCTTTCTGGCTGCTTGCAATATTTTCTCCTTGACCTGGGAATCTGGAATTTGGCTACAATATTCTTAGTTTTCCTTTGGGAATCTCTATCAGGTGGTCGGTGGATTCTCTCCATTTCTATTGTACTCTCTGGTTCTAGAATATCAAGGCAGTCTTCCTTGATAATTTCTTGAAAGATGATGTCTAGGCTCTTCTTTTGATCATGCTTTCAGATAGTCCAATCATTTTTAAATTATCTCTCCTGGAACTCTTTTCCAGGTCAGTTGTTTTTCCAATGAGATATTTCACATTGTCTTCTATTTTTTTTTCATTCTTCTGGTTTTGTTTTACAATGTCTTAATTTCTCATAAAGTCACTAGCTTCCATATGCTCCATTCTAATTTATTTATTTATTTTTTAGGTGAGGCAATCGAGGTTAAGTGCCTTGCCCAGGGTCACACAGCTAGTATGTGTCATGTGTCTGAGGCCAAATTTGAACTCAGATCGTCCTGACTCCAAGGCCAGTGCTCTATCCACTGTACCACTGAGCTGCCCCCTCCATCCTAATTATTAAGGAAGTATTTTCTTCAGTGAGATTTTGGACTTCCTTTTCCATTTGGCCAATTCTGCTTTTTAAGGCACTCTTCTCCTCATTGGCTTTTTTGGACCTCTTCTGCCATTTGGGTTAGGCTATTTTTTTAAGGTGTTATTTTCTCCAGTATTTTTGGGGTCTCCTTCAGCAAGCTATTGACTTGTTTTTCATGATTTTCTTGCATCACTCTTATTTATCTCCCCAGTTTTTCCTCTACTTCTCTTCCTCGCTTCTGAAAATCCTTTTTGAGCTCTTCCATGGCCTGGGACTGATTCACATTTTTCTTGGAGGCTTTAGATGTGGGAGCTTTGATTGTGTTGTCTTCTGGTTGTATGTTTTGATCTTCTTTGTCACCAAAGAAAGATTCTATGCTCTGAGCTTTTTTGTGCAGTTTGCTCACTTGAGTTTTAAACTCTTTGTCAAGATAGGGGTCTGCTTCCAGTGTGGAGAATGTACTGTCCTAAGCTTTGGAGGTTTTGTGCAGCTGTTTTCAGAGATACATCTAGGGACCTACAAATTTTCAGTTCTTCCAAGGTGCTATGATCAAGGGTGAGGTGTTTATTCCTTTCCTAGCCTGGGCCGTAGTCTATAAGTGATCACAAGCACTCTTTTCTGCCTTGGAACTGTGAGGAGGATTCCCTCTGCACCGCTACTACAAGCTCCGCTATGCCAGGCTCCTCCTTGCCCCAGGACCACCACTCAGAACTGTGACCCAGATCCAATCACAGGCAAAGCAAGAGATTCCTGCCTCAGTACCAGAAGAAAGATCCCTGCAATACCCCTCTGATCAGCCACTCGATTCCCCCTCTGTCTGTGGGCTGAGCTCCGGAAGCACCCGTAGCCCCGGACTGTATTGGGACTGTGGCCAGGACCTAGCTTCTCTCTCACTGAGGTCACAGATCTTTCCTACTGACCTTCTAAGTTGTTTTTGGTGTTAGTGGGCTGAGAAGTCTGGAAACTGCTGCAGCTGCCCATGATTTAGTTCCGAGGTCTGCTCCAGGTTCACTGAGGCCCTGTCTTTGCCTGTGCACCCATGCTGAACTGTGCTCCTCTCCCAGCCTGGCACAATAGACCTTTCCAATCAACCACCCAGGCTGTCTTGGGCTGGCAATTTGTTTCACTCTGTCTTTTTGTGGGTTATGCTGCTCTAGAATTTGATTAGAGCCATTTTTTAACAGGTATTTGGAGGGGTTTTGGGGAGAGTTCAAGCAAGTCACTGCTTTTACGCCACCATCTTGGCTCCACCCCCCCCATTTACTTCTATTAAAGCATCATCACTGGGACCCTAGTCAGAATCTTCAAATAAGGATAAAAAAAATAACAGAATCTCCTTACTGAGACTAAATGAAGTCAGTCCAAATGACACGTTTTTAGAAAATACACTTTTATCTCAAATATATAAATTAGTCCAAGGCAGGTAGGGAGAAGGAGTGCTAAGAGTACCTTGTATACCTACCTTAAAAAAATTAATAGATAAGACTACTTTCTAATTAACAATTTCTATGTAAATAAGCCTTTAAAGGGCTCAAAAATAGTCTCAGTTTAGGTAGATTAAATGTTATCGTTAAAATGCTGATGATAAAGCCTTTTTTTAATAAATGATGCAAACCTATATTCACCTTAGCCCCTGTTCACATTATCACTCATTGTAAGTGAGTAAACCCTGAATTAGATTTCACCATAAAACAATTATTTCAAAATATACATCAATATACAGATGTGTTCATTTTGACAATGGAAGTGTGCCAAATCCTAAGTGAAGTATTCAGTGATTGTCCATGTTCTGGGCATTAAAACATCAAAATGACATTGGATGATGCTTGAAGGAGGAAAGGAACAAAGTCTGATTTCAACTCGAGTTTCATATTCATTTGTGGCATTACAGATTTAAAGAAATGTTTAAATCATTTTCAGTTACATGAGCTAAAATCACATTGACATGCAAACCCACATCACATTCAAACCTGACACAAAATAGAAACAAGAAATGTTTGTAAAACAAATAGCTTTAAACACTGTTTTTAAGTAAAATATTGGTTACTGATGTGGGAGTTTTCTTTAAAATGAAATGGTTTAACTTGCTATAAATTGGTATTAAGTTTCTTTTTAAGTGACTTGTAGAATCAAGTAATACGAAAGAATAGTAAAATTTGGTGAAATAAAAAGTCATTATTAGTATATTTCATCAGTAGAGTCCTGTATAATTGTACGTGTGTGTACACACACACACACACACACACACACACACACACACACACGAACTCTTCAAACTACTTGTGGCCCAAACAAATTGAAAATATCGGGAGTTTACACTTTTATGTTCAATCCTTTATTCCTATTTGTGTATATGACCAAAAACGGTCATCAGTGAGAGTAACAGGAAAGTGGACACAGAGCTCAGTGGCCCCAAAGTAAGAAATAAACAAAGTTACAAGCTCATAGGTGCCTCAAAAGCCCACAACTTTGTCTTTCAGTAGGAGCCAACAAGCGTGGCCCTCGAAAAGAGATGAGAAAGAGGACATCCCTCTCTTCTTGTAGGAGGTGGGAATATGGGCATGGAACTCTGTGTCTGATGAACAGTGCATCCGACGTCAGACTCAGATGATAGGGTGCTTGTTTTACTTCCCTGTTTCTCTCTCTTTTTTGTCGTTACAGGGCTGAATACAAGAAAATGGAGAACGAAGGTAACACAGAACCAAAAGATATCTTTAAAAATGGTGCTGGATGTGGAAGGCAAACAAGACTAAGACTGAAATTCTGTCTTAAGAGAGATCCCGATCCTGGTGACTCAGGCGAGAATCACTTCCAAGTAAGTTTTCTGTGTATGACCGGACCATGCTTAAACTAGTTAAAGCAAACTAGAAGAAACAATAACTATACAAAGATCCTACATATAATCACAACTGCCCCAGGCTAAACCATTCAAAGAAATTCGCTGTTCTGCAAACCAGGCAAGAGAGTAAGGAAAGGCATCAAGCAGGCCTAGTTCCACTTCATGCCGGTGGCAATCCTACACAACATTCGAGGCCAATGAGACCTGCAACACAAAAACCAGCCCAGCCACCAAGCATGAGATCTTCTTGCACACATGAAAGACACAGAGATCGAGGGCCATGGCAACTTAAAACGTAAGCTTCTTTGCAAAACGTTACAAGATCAGTGGTAGAAGTAAGAGCACCATCACTGCCTAGAGAAAAGGGGAAGAAAGCCTGGCCTGAAACCCAAAGTGTCCCATCATCCCAGATATTTTCACATGAAACTGGAAGGCAACAAACTGAAGAGAAGTCAAACAGGCCAGGCAGCATTTCTACCACAAACTATTCCCATCATCAATACGGCGGACCTGTATTTTAATTTAAATTCAAACACCACAGTCCCTGATGTGCTATGTAAGAAGTGAAAATCTCCCACTACTAGGAAAACCAAGGAAGAGCAACGTGAACAAGGCCAACTACGTAGAGAAGGAATCTTTACTGGAGGTGACGGTTCTGAAAGTACTATGGATCAAATTCCAAGATATCTAAAAGAGGGGAAAATACCAAAGGACTTAAAAAAAACCCAGTAACAACAATTGAGAGGTTATAAGCAACTACCGAACCATATTCCTGTAATCTCCATGAGCACAATCTATCAATGAGTCCATAATGAAAATAAAAGAAGGGAAAAGGCAGGCTTTCATAAATGATGTTCTGTAACAAACCACGTCTTTAGAGTCTCAACACTGACTCTGGAGGCCACAGGAGATGAAATCCTGTGTTCTTTATCCTTTACTGACTATTTTAAAAAGCATTTGGCTCAGCAGAGCAAAACGTACACTCTTCAGTGCTCTCCTCCAATAAGGCATCTGCCATGCGTGTAGTGAGAAAATATAAGATTCTGGGAAAGATGCATCTGGAAGGATAACTCAACACCAAGAAGAAAGGAAGGAGGGAGGCAGGTGCTCCCCAAAGTGCCTGTCCATCACAGGCATGAAGGATGCCTGGCAGAGTTCCAATAGAGTGGATTCCCTAGAGATGGTGACAGCTCTTCAGATATTCCTGTTAACAGATAATCCTGTGCTGAGAGCACTGAGCTCCAAATACTAAAGAGATTCCTCCTTGAGAGTCACAACCTCAAAGAGAGCTTGACCTAACAAGGCATATGGGAGGAAAAGCAAATGGATAAGAAAGGAATATTCTTCAAGCCTGGGGTATGGGGATGGGAGTGACATAGACTTGAGGCTCAGCACAGTTATCCTGGGAGTTTTATGGAGGAGAAAAGACGATTATTTCGGTAGTCCAGGAACAGTGATGAGGGTCCGGATTAAGATGGTGGTTGTGGGAGTAGACAGAATGGGACAGTTATTAACGAAACTGTGGAGTTGAAACCAAACACAACTGGCAACTAATTCAATTTGTGGAGTATGGAAGAGGAAGGGATTGAGAATTGTCCTGAGTTTGCAAAGCTGGTTAACTGGAAGGACCTATTGTCCTCAACAGAATGTGTACAGTTTGAAAGAGGAATGGGGGTGGGTATGGGGCTGGGAGGGTGGGGATTAACTCTACTGTGGACATATTGAGTTTGAGATGCCTGCAGGATAGATATCCATTAGAAATGTCCAATAGGCACCTAGAGATGTGGGATAGGGAAAGAGAGACTAGGCTCGATAATGAGATCTGAGAGTCATCTGCAGAGAAATGACAGCCGAGTCATGGAGAGAAGACAAGAGAGCTCTGGACAGAGACTCCAAGGGCATCCACTTCAAGTAAGATGACACCAAAAAGAACACGAAAGATGGCAACTAAGGGATCACTGGGCACTTTGGTCAGACTGCAGAGGGCATGAAGAAGAGAAGAGAGAAGTAGAGGAACAAGTATGGAAAGGAGAACAGAGATGAAGGCCTGGGATGATAGTGTGAGGAGGTGGTAGGACCTCGGGAGGATACGAGTGGGGAGACAAGGAGCCAGGGAGTGAGAGGGTAAAGATTAGGGAGGAGGGATGACTGCTGGGGGGGCACTGTGCTGGAGAAGACAAGAAGGGATGAGGTCACAGAAGGGCTGGATTTGGGGAGCAGACAGGCCACCTCTTCAATAGAGACTGAAGCGAAGGAAGAGAGACTGGACAATTAAATGAAAAGTTTTGAGATCTAGAGAAGGGGAGAAGAAGGAGCTCGTGGTAAACAGTTTGTATCTTCTCAGTAATGCACGAGGTGGAGAAATGGGATTATGGGGAAATAGAGGAGGGAATAAAAGGCTGAGAGGACAGAGAACCTGTTTGGGGCCATGTAACCTGAACATGTGGTGGCCTCAGGGGGCACCGCATGTGAGTGTGAGCAGAGGAAGAGTCAGAGCATTAGTGTGGCTCCCACCGAAACACCAGACAGCCAGGGCCCAAGTCTGCAACAAGGTCTGCTCAGAACAGAAGCTATTTATTTGTATAAATTAAGGACGATACATTAATGTCCTCTTGCCCTGTCAGCAACCCGTAGGTTCAAATCTGAATGACATCAAATTCCAGCTCTGCTGTTGCGGAAAATCTCTGTGATCCTGAGCATTTAACAAAAATAATCACACCTGGCAAAGGAATTAAGAGTCAACACTTATGACATCTGATTGTTTAAAGTTTCCTGTGGGTGTGTACACGTTTTCCTCTCTCCCTCCCTCTCTCTCTTTCTCTCTGTTTCTCTCTCGGCTCTCTCTGTCTCTCTCTCTCTCACACACACACACACACACACACACACACACATACACACACACACACACACATGCAGGAGCAGATGATTTCACTCTGTTAACAAAGGCCATCTTCCCATAATGTCCCCTACTACATTTGCAGCAAGTCAGTGTTTCAGCTAATCTATTGAAGTGAGTAGGTTCATTTTTGCCACGCTTACCTCTTTGTCCATTTCTACTCTGGTATCTTTCATAGATGACTCCGAGAATTTTTTTGACAAGTTCTCCACTGTGCTTGCAGCCTACAAAATTATTAAAACACTTTTTTTCTCTACCTTAGAATATTTAAGAAACATAACATCTAAGAAGACCTCAAAACATTTGATAAAACTTCCATGCTTAGTAAGATAATCGTTTCCCCAGTGAGTGAGATCACACAACGTTAAGGTCTGGGTTTGTTGTTGTTACTTTAAACACTAACAGCAGAAGGGGCAGCTAGGTGGCGCAGTGGATACAGCACTGGCCCTGAAGTCAGGAGGACCTGAGTTCAAATCTGGCCTCAGACCCAAACACTTGACATTTCCTAGCTGTGTGACCCTGGGCAAGTCACTTAACCCCAATTGCCTAAAAGCAAAAAAAAAAAACCCCCACTAACAGCAGAGTCTCAAAAATCTGATGGGGCTGTCAGTTTCCCTCATAAATACTATGCAGTGTAGGCAAGAGCTTAATACGGCCTTTAAAAGATTTCTAACATGAACTGCTGTGGCACTGAGTATATGCTTTTCGTCCGTGACTTCCTTGGGGGATATACCTAGCAGCTGGATCGTGCAGGTAACTCTTCAGAGTGCTTTCACATAGATTAGAAGTATTTTAATTCATTAAGCAATGTTTTGTTCAGATAAAATAAACCTGGAAAAGTTATGTCTTTCCCTGAAATGTGAGTGAAAGAATTCTTCATAAGTTGGAAGATAAAAGATATTTCATTTGACCATCACAAAAACACCTGGGACAGGCAAGGAAATCAAGGAACCAGTCGAGCGGCTTGTGTAAAGCCATTCTCTCGGGCGAATGGTGGCTGAAGCACGTTAAAAACTCTGGTTTCCTGCTTTTTCCACTGGATGCTACTGGTTTCTTTCTATCATCGAGGCTGGCCAAGGGAGTCCCCAGATTTGTTAGAAGGCAGCAAAGCAGTTAACAGAGATGGCTTAAAAACCCAACCCTTTCCTTCCTGAACTCCTCACAAGTGAAGAGGGGTCCTTTATCTGCAGTTATTCGGAAATATTTCCTCAGTTAAACTGTTCTGGAAAGCAATTGCAATGAGACAAAGAGAGTGACTAACACGCCTGAACCCACTGACCAGAGATGCCATTGTTAGGTATGTACCCCAAGGAAGTCACAGACCAAAAAAACAGTACATCCCAAATTCACAGCAGCACTTTGAGTGGTCGCAAAGAACTGGACACAAAGTAGATGCCCATTAACTGGGTAATGGCTAAACAAATTGTGGTACATGAATATAATGGATTAGTACTATGCTACAAGAAATGACAAATATGATGAATGCAGACAGAGAAGTGTGAGAAGAGATATTAACTGACACAAAGTGAAATAAACACAATAGTACACACCATGGTTGCAATGAGGTCAAAGGAAAGAACAAAACAATTGGAAACTGAATGCTGTGAAATCATAAATTATGACTAACCTTGCCCAGCCACCACATCCCTCACTGAGATATGAGCAAGCATTTCCTTCTGGTCTTTGCAGGTGTGCAGCTCTATGAGTATGGAATGCTGAACATACTGTCAGATTTTTTTGGACATATTGGTTTAGTTGGGCTGAACTGTTCTCCACCACCCATCCCCCCCAGCCTTCTTTATCCTTCTTTATCATGAGGAATGATCTCCAGGAGGAGATTTTATATATATATGGAATTAAATACATTGATTTATTTGGTTTAATTTGACCAAAATATTTCTTAATGGATTCAAATATTTCTAAACCAAAGTAGCATTCACACTTAGAGCTACCACATCTGCAGACTCTTCATTTTTAACACCCTCTAAGGACTGAAGACATTTCATTAGACTAAGTTAGGAACTGTAAATGAATAACATCTTGACTGCTGGCAATGACCTGGAATTAGATCATTTTTTAATTCTGAATTTATAGTCCAGTAAATGGTCCAGTTTTGTAGATATGCTGGAGAAAGCAATGAAACCAGAAACAAGAGCTTGAAGAGACTTCTGTTTATTTCACTTTGTATCAGTTGAAATCTTTTCTCATGCTTCTCTGGGGAAAGTCGCTTCAGCTGTCTGTGGCCCAGAGAAGGCAGCACACCCACTACCTATCTCACAGGCTATTGTGAACCTGCGGATACTATGATGTACATCCCTACCTCAGGAAAACATCCTTGGTGGGCTTCTGAGTGCCACCAGCAGAAACGGGCAGGACTGAGCGAAAGACAAGGAAGCACACAACATGAAATCTAACCCTCACTAACCTTCCCTTAAAAATGCCCCACCCATCCCATGACTGATTCCCTAAATGGCCGATGAGCTGCGCCAATGAGAACTGACCTTGCTTCTAGCCTGCCCCAAAAGCTTCTTCTAAACAACTATTCACAACTGAAATGGCTAACGCAGGCAACATATTCTTGCTCCAACTGGCCCAAGTTTAGTTTACAAAGATGCAGGGAACCTTTTGGCTATGTGGAGTCAGCTTTAAAGGAACTCCAGAAGGCCTTAATCTCAGCTCAATGGCCTCTGAGTCGCTACTTCAAAGGGCTGAAGAAAAATGTCTCTTTTCACTGACTACATTCTGAAAAATGCCATCCATTACAGTGCAGGAACTTTTTAGCCATATGTGAGGCAACCTCCTAAGGAGAGATTAAAGGATGAGGAACATGTGAAAGTAATTATAAATTCTAAAAGTCATAATGGACCTCAGGGTTTTATAAAACATAACACTAGGATCTTTTTTCAAGGGGCATATGAAAGGAAATATTTAAAAGTAAAATTCCTGGTCCTGTGTGTATACAGTGAAACCTTAATAAACAAGAATTTAACTAATAATTATCCTAAAAATTAAAAAAAAAACACCACTCCAATTTTAGAAGGAAAAAGGAAAATCACACAGAAAGGAAAAAATGATAACAGCATTACTGAGGACTAAAATAAAGAAATAACCCAGGTTATGTCCCACAATTAGCATTAATTCATTAAAGCCCTTCTGCCTCTGAGAAGTACACAGGAGCTGCCACAGTACAGAATGGTGTAAGCAGCACAGGGCCAGGGGACCAGAACATTTGGTTCCGTGGTGATGCTGTCCCAACTTCCTATGTGAGCTTGGGCAGTCTATGAAATGAAATGATTGGCTGAGGTGATCTCAAAATTCTCTTCCCAGTTCTATCTCAATAATTAAGTTATAGCCCTACCAGAAGGACTAGTATTCTGAAAGATACGCTTGAGGCAAGATATGAAACATCAAAATCCATGACGTCCTTTTTGCATCGTACCTCTGTTAAGAAGTCAACGTAGATTTTTTTTTTTATCTCTTCTATTTTCTGTTTAACCACATTTGAGCTAGATTATTAAGTCAAATGACTACAATCCCCAGCTAAGTGATACCTTACTGTTATGTATCTGCTACCTTAAAAAAACCTTCCTTATAGCTCAAGGTCAAGTACCTGTTTTCATAATTTCTGAATTCCTTACTAAAGTCTACAAAAGACAAAATATAACACTGAAACCTCTGCCACCAAAGGCAGTACAGACCTCTTCTGATATTCTGAGGTGGAAGGACCGTTAGAGATGACTTAGGCCAAGATCTTCCTGAAGCTCATGGACATTCTATGACTTGCCCATGATGACAATCAGCATTGGAGCTCAGGTCTTCTAACTTTCAGTCAGAGATGAGACAGAGATGAAGGTCTATGGATCCCAGTCACACACTTAACACCGTGACAATGCCGTGGGCTGTGATGCACGTCAGACTAACGTGGCTCAAGCCCTAGCCTTGAGAGCCTAAGAACTCCACCTTTTCAAGCATGCCTAACATAGGACCAGGTGTGTAGCAAGGTCATGTGGACTCCTTCACTGTGCCCCAGAGCAGAGGCAGAAAAGCTGACTTCACAGACACTCCACTGTGTACAGCTTTGCCACCTCACTCCTCCAAAGCTGAGGCCCACAGGCGACCGGCCCCATGAAGGTTCTTACCTTTTTCTCTGGTTTTTCCTGCTCCTTGACTTTTTCCTTTTCATGTTCCCTTGAATTCTCCCCATCTTTTGCCCTCTCTCTCCGTTTTTCCCTGTCCTTTTCTTTCCCCTTGTCTCGATCTCTTTCTCTCTCTCTGTCCCTTTCTTTCAAGTGCTCCTTTTCTTTCACTCCATCATTCTTCCTGTCCTTGTCCTTGTCTCGTTCTGACTCTCGGTCTTTGTTGCCTCTGTCTTTGTCTCTGCTTTTCTCTCTCTCTCGTTCCTGCTTGGCTCTGTTCTTATTTCTGTCTCTCTCCTCATCTCTCACTTTGTCTCGGTCGGGATCTTTGTGCCTTTCCCGGTCATTGTCCTTGCTCTTCTCTCGTTCTCTGTCTCTGTCCTTTTCTCTTTGTTTGCTTTCTTCATCTTTAGACTCTTCCTTTGTTTGCGTTCTCGGCTTGTGCCTCTGTCTTTGATTTCAGAGTTCCTTCTGTCCTAAACAAGTAAATATATAAAAAAAAAGTAATGAAGTCTAAGTGTGAAATTCTGTCATCAACGCCTCCAAAGCCTGTCAAGTTCTTTGGAACATTTCAAGGTTTCCATTTACCTCTTTCTCTTTATGAATCCGCGGTTCTTCTTCCTTCAGTTCCTTATTATCCAGCTCTCGGGCTTTCAAGGTAAGCGGAGATTTTCCCTTTGAATCCCCCTTCTCTCCGGCGAGAACTCTTTTCACAGCATCATCGCTTGAGAGCTTCAGATCCAAAAGGGAATGAAGTCAAAGGAAAAGTTAAAATGAGAGTTAGCAAATTTGACAGGTATTCAAGTAAACATTCATCACAGCTGGTAAGCCTAGCCCCTGCCCCGCTCCAGAAGTGCAAAGTCCACCTCCTTATCTCCCAGAGGGGTCATGCGACATCACACAACAAGATGAGTTCAAGCCCCACCTCACACATAGGACTTCACTTTCCAGCACTCTGGGCAACTCTCTAAGTTGAAGAGAAGGGGCCAACCCATACTGGGAGAGGGAGTTTCTTTTCCAGGAAGCACCCATGCCAGTGAAATCACCAATCAGATCCAGTCCTTATCCCTATCTCTTAGGTGACCCTCACAAAAATCCTGGGAAACAGGCAAAGAGGGTACGATCGTGCCTTTTTTCCAAATGAGGCACCACGAGCTCAAAGGCTGGTGATGTGACTCCCCCCGGGCCACACAGCCAGGACGCGGAGACGCTGGGCCATGGCCCCCAGTGTGGGGCTCTGCCTGCCAAAGTACAAGATCCCGCAGACGTTTCGATAAAATCAAATGATAAAATCACTGAAGAAAATACAAGCTTGAGAGCCCAAGGCCCAGATCCCCAACACTCAAGGCCTTTAGTTTTGGTTTTGCTGTGAAACACCTCTCCAAGCCAGGCCATTACCCGGCAGATACACCGCGCTAGAAACATCACAGAAGCATCATACAGATCTTTGTCCAGGAGGTGTTACGCTGGGTGCTTAGAAAGAGCATCTTATCCCTTTTGTACTCACAGACTTACAAAACAATAATCCCTTCTGCAGTATGGCCAATAGTCATCCAGCCTCTGGTTGAATACTCACAGGGTCAGAAATACTCACAAGGCAAGCCAGGCCACGGTTAGAAAATTTCAGTTGTTATAAAGGTCTTTCTCATGGTGAAGAGACATCCTTTCGACACCAAGAGAAATTGAGAAAAATCCTTAACACTTTAGGTGGACTCTCTGAGGCAAACTAGTGGAAGGACGAAGGCCAGTCACTCCAGCTGAGAAGCCATGGATGGCCTGGACCACCCAAATCATCACTGAGATCAATGGGGAAAGTGCTCAGTATCAGGAGGCCTCTACTGCATTTAGACGAAAAGCAAGCATGTGCTTTGGACGACATGGAGATGATGGGCTTACAAAACAGAAACAAATTCACACGCTAACGATGGACCGTCTAAGGATCGGTATAGCCTAGACAAGATGTCCTTATGAAACAAGGTGACCACCTCTCTCCCTGTAGCTCCAAAGGCCAAATGCTACCTTGAAATCTTAAAGCTCCAACAAAGGGCCCTAAATTCCACTGAAGACAGCTTCACACACCATGGAAGAGGATGGCTGGAGAGACTGAAAGAATGTCGCCTGTACCAACACCACCCTGAGCTCAAGTTGAACACGCCCCAAGTGGATCAAAACTTACCAGCTTGGGAGAGCAGAATGAGGCTGAGTCGGTGTCAGGAGCCTCAGACTTAACCTCCTGCCCTCCCATACCCACCCGGCTGTGTGACCATGGAAGACAAGCCACTTCATCTCCCGGAGCCTCGGTACCCTTGTCAATAAAATGAGGGTGATACCACTTACTCCACCTACCTCTGACGCCTGCTTGGCTTAGTGACTCCTCAAGTGGCCCCAAAACGTGCACGAAGCATTAGGGCGTGTCGGCCAAGAGCCTGGAGAGCTCCTTCTCCGAGGAAAAACAGGTCATCCCCTCCTGTCCAAGACGACAGGAGAAGCTGCTCTCCAGGGGACAAGTACTTTCAGAGCACCTACACTCACCTAGACACTGAGGTGAATTTAAAAGAAAAAGATGCCCGGTCTTGCTTTGTACCTACATGAAACAGCCCAGGTAACTGAGGCCTGAGGCCATCGAGAGACGAGGCTTCAGCGTCTCCTCACCCCATCCACACCTGCATCAGCTGGGCCTGGCCGGCGAGGCACAGCTTACCCAGCCTTGATGAAGCCCTTGCCTTCTGCCAGGCCCTGGGGGCACAGAGACAAGACAAAAAGCATCTCTGCCTCCCAGGCACCTACATTCGCGTAGGGTAATAAAACACGTACCCCGATGTGTTAAGAAGACAGAAAGACTGAGAGGCTTCCCGGAGGGAACATCACTGTAGCTGAGCCTCGAAAGGAGCTAAAATTCTAGGTACAGCCAGCAGGCTAGAGCACAGAATGCCTCAGAGGAAGCAACATCGAAAGGTCGGAATCAAAAAGGGGGCACCACAGTTCAGACTAGAGGCCGAGGGAACCACGCACAGCTGGTTGGTGAGTGGCCAAGCCCATTTGGGCTTTAGGAAGATTCTGAGGGCAGCCACAGCGAGGAGAGCTGCACAGCCCTGGGGAGGCTGCCGGCTGAGCTCCAGCAGCAACATGGCGATAAATGCAAGAGGGGCCTTCCTTTGTGTGGCCTAGCAGGCCCCTCCAGGAAACCTTTCCCTCCTCTGAAGTTCTCCCACAGCACTCAGGGCCCAGACCGTTCGCTGCGTGCTGGCTGCCGACTTCTCGGAGTCTGTACTTTAACTAGAATCACAGAGGGCAAGGCTGAGATCATCCCAAACCTGCCCAAGGACGTGAGATGCATCGCCCAAGGTGGGCGAGTCACAGTGGCACAGGGGACAGCTGGGACTGACTGACTTCTCTGCTTGGTGTACATACTTGTACTTTCTTAGCTGAAGGCAACAACTGCTTTGCTTTTGTCTCTGTACAAGCAGTGTCTCGATGCTTTCAGAACTGTGTCTACCACATAACTTGTGGCATTATAGGGAGCAACCAAAAGCTTGTTGACAGGAAGCTTTTCAAAAAGTTGCTAGAGCTGCACAAATCCTGCTTAGCATACAGGACAGCAAACAGCCGTGGCCTCCTTTACTAAGGCTACCATTCACACACGACGCTGTACTCCACCACACCTTCTTTTTTTAACTAGCAAGCATTTACTTTTTTTTCTTCACTCCCCTGAAGACAAGAAAAACCCAGCCCCAATCTGGCCAGTCTCCTGCCAACTGTGGCCTTGATGTACTCCTCCTTCTGCACGGGGGTCCGGCCCCTCTGTCTCTCACCCCTCACACCTCCTAATTCTCTCGACAGGGCTGAGCTCAGGGAACACAAAAATCAGCCACACCAGCCGCATTCGCTTCTTCCTCATAAGCTGATCTAACCACAACCAAACCTAGAGAAAGGACAGACAGAGCACAGGGAGACTCTGCAGCCTTCCCCTGAGGTTCCTTAATCAATGCTGAGATGTCCCTCTGTCCTGTTGTTACTCAGTCGGCCGGCTTCCCTACATTGGTGCTGGCCAGTTCAGCCGATGGGCCCCTGAGGCTTCTGCCTGAAGACCCTCCTGACTCTATTAGCACACCAGGGCTGGATGCCTGATTCCGAGGTCCAGGACCCTGTGGCCTGGAGATCACCCCCCAGGGCTGTCTCAGAGGGTCACAGCTGTGGAGAGTTGAGAAGGCCAATGTAAATGGGAGCTGCCTCCAAAGCAAGACTGTGGGATGGTGCTGAGTCCCTCCCTGAAGCTGTAAGGAGCTCGGGAGGCTGGGGCACACACCCAGGAAACAAGAATTGAATGGCTTCAGTCCCTTCTCTGTCACGTCCTGTGCTTGGCACTGATGCTGCCACTCCAATGACATCTCGGTAGCAGAGCTATTCCGGGGCACTGAGCCTCCCTCTCTCCCTCCCTCCTTGGATCAAGGAGGACGTATCCACACTCAGCGAGTCAGGTTAATTCAGATACTAGCGGGGCTGGGAGAGGGATATCGGACAAAAGCAAAAAGATCTCCAGGCCCTACTCCCCAAGGCCAATGAGAGGAAAGAGGATACCCAAGTTCCAGTAGCTCTTGGCTGGGTACTTAAGAAGGTGAGGGTGCTATGGAGGCTTCTCCTCTGTTTCCCAAGGGCTTTAAACAATCTGGAGTCTCCTCTGACCAGTGTGGACCTTTCACTCAGCTCAGCCCCAGCCCCTGAAATGATATGGGATCAAAAGTGGGAGAAAGACTAGGGAAGGTAACATCTGGGCACACACTTACAAGGCTTCCTGATCACAATGTACCTTCATCAGCATTCTGCCTGCCTCCAGAAAAAAAATGTACTGGAGCCACTCAAGACAGAGAAGCATTTGCCCCTCCTCTGCAAGAAGGAGATTTATCAGGGGCTGGATATCAGCATCTGGACTACATTCTAAAACTTCTGAGCTTGAGGAAGCTAGGTGGTACAGTGGATAAGAACACTAGGCCTGGAGTCTAGAAGATCTGAGTTCAAATGTGGCCTCCAACCCTTACCAGCTGTATGACCCTGGGCAAATTGCTTCACCTGTTTGCCTCAGTTTCCTTAACTGTAAAAGAGGGTTAATAATAGCAGCTGTCTCTAAGGATCGATGTGAGGATCAAATCAGCTAATATCCACAACGACACATAATGTCATGAAATTCTTTTTTATGCTATGTTCACATTCTTGATGCCTATGTCTTACTTGGACTGTAAAGTGCTTAGTACAGGGCCCGGCACATAGTAGGCTCTTCACACACGCTCATTTCCTTTGTGTCTTTGAAAGGGGAAGTCCCAGGATAACAGCAGGAAAGCAGGTAGGATGTCATTCAGTGCCTCCTCCTCATCCAATTTCTGTTCCATTTCCCGTTTCCCTCTTCTTCTCCTCCTAACAGATCACTAGTGAGACCTGAGGGAGGCTGGTTCAGCTTGGGAAAGCTGACTAGGTTTCCAGCTCGTCTGGTACGGTAATACACGGAGGCAACTGAGCCCCAGAATCACAGGCAAAATTAGGAAGTTAGAAAATTCTACGTTGTTTATGCTCTGACCCTGTTTCTTCCCCCTTCCCCTTCTCCTGATTGTCCAAAGTCTACACTTCCCTGCCCCAGAGTCTGCCTTGACTAAAACGTCAGGTCCTTCCCTTCACTAAACACTGAAAACTTCAATTTCCAGAGCATCACCATCAGAAGGCTTTAGTCAGATTATCTGATTAAAGTACTTGACACCAATTACATTTGCCGAGCTTCGTCCCAGAGGAAAAGAGGCAGCCTCTTCTTTGCTGTCTACTGTCTTTAGAAAGTGAGAATTAGAGTTATTTAACCTTCGGTGAAAAGGGGCAGGATATATTCAGCAAGAAGGTGATATGGAAATAAAATACTCATCAAGAAGGAAAAAGTAACACACCAAGACATGAGACTTAGTCTGGCATTTTAAAATGACGTAACACTTTCAGTAAATGAAATGAATCTCTAATTGGAATTTCAGGAGGAGAGGTTTTTAGGCCAGAGACCTGCATGAGCTGCTAGGCTGGGCTGGGCTGCAGCTATCCCGTCATGGCATCTAATGGGGAATGAAAGCAGGGAAATCAGGGCTGCAGCCTACCCCTTTCCCCACCCCGCCCCCAGCTTTGCAAATGATGAAACAGAAACAGAAGGATTCCCTTGGGGAGCATCGTGAAAGCCACAGTCATAGTGAAATGGGCTCCTTTTGCATGGTAAACACATACGGTTATGAAATCCCTCTTTATGTGATGCCTCTGTTTCAACGTGATCCTGCAGTGTTACCTTATTGAGACAGCATTTTCCAATTGCTTGGAGTAGCTCATTTGTTCTTTCTGGTTCATGTCCCGCCACAATTCTCGCTGGTTTCACAGATAACGGTTCTCCTGAAACCATCATCACAACGTCTATGGTCTTCTGAAGGAAGCTAATTTTTGCATCTTTATCCTGATAAATTTAAATTTAAAATAGAATATTTAAAGTCATGATTTACATCATCTCCAACATGTTCTACTGACAAAGTGCTCATCACTAACAAATATGGCTAACTTGAAAAGCACTTCGCATTTAGAAATTCTAGATCTCTGCAAGTAAATAAAGATAACCCCATTCCACACATTCTGGGACTGAACTGGCCTCCTAACATAAACCTCTGAAACACAATCTCATTCCCATGGGAACATCAACATGACGCTCTTCTCAGATGACCAAGGTCACCACGACTTAGTTAATACTAATACATCAGTGAATAGTCCTTGGACAAGTGCTGTAGACAGCCCAAGAGCCAGGGCCAGCGCTGGTTGAAAGGAAAACGGTGTGAGACCTAGCCGAGCTCAGTTCTGGGGACAGCCCCAAGCCCATCTTGCGACCCCAATAATGAATATCCTCCTGGTGCCACCACTGAGCTGCAAACCACAGGGCTCTAAGATGTCCCCCCAAATCACAGCTGCTCGTGACACAAAAGACAACAGTGAGCTGCCTGCACTTATAGGTTGGCCCTGGAGGAAGGGGGGCTCACCGGTGACACCCAGCAGGAGGACAGTCTTCAAGGCAGCATTATGATTTACCAAGGCTGTTTTCCCTTAGTCATCAATAACAAGTGCATGTTGAGGCATATGAATTTCATAAAAGCTAAAGATGGCCGTTTTCAGATGGTCCACCAGAATAATAGCTTCAAACATGCACAGGGGGCAGTCTTTGCTGATTTCATTACAATGTATAGCTACAAGATCACATGCAAATATATGACTTCATTAGTATGGGAGCTGCCAGAGTGGGAACTCTCTCTACCAATGCAAAACTGACAACTATTTCAAACTCAGTGGGTCAATCTTTGGATTGCCTGAGACTCTGGGAAGCTGAATGAGAGATTTGACCAGAGTCACACAACTAGTGAAGGTCAAAGGTAGCTTTTAAAAGACAGGTCATCTTGATTCCATATGCAGAACTGCGTTTCCCAGGTCATGCTACCTCTCACGTGATCAGACAGTACAAAATCAGAAATCTATCCCATTACGATAAACAAGTTTGCAAATGAAACATGGATGGAGCTCCAAACAGTTTAGAAATGATTTGAAAAAAAATCTCCAACTGTCTTTCTCTAAAGAAAAATATTTTCCCAATTTTTAAAAAAACTGTTCTACTATTTATATGACGAACCCCATGAGACTTTATTAATACCCGGAATAAGGGCTAACAAGTAAAGGACCTAGGCTTTCAAACTTACCTTAACATTATCAGATTTCAGCTCAGAATCCGAGTAGAGACCCTTCATAAAACCAGTCATTCTAATTACCTTGAAAACATAAAGAAAAGGTATTGACCTATTAACAACACACCAGAAAGCATCATCAGTCCACATTGGGTAACCGGTTTAAGTGGAAACCCCCAAAGCTTAAAGTCTTTCCAGGTCTCTTTGCAACTGGATCGTACACACAAAAAACCCTTCAATCAAAGCCTAATTGTTAGTGGATCAACATTCAGCTTGAAGAAAAAAAAAAGGCAGCATTAGATTCATGAATGCAAAGTACAGAAGACTTACATGAACAGATGCAGAGTGAAGTAAGCAGAGCCAGAAAAATAATACAAACAAGGTCTAAACTAAAAGAACCAAAGGGAAAAAAGGGTAGAGGGAAGGAAGGAGGGAGGAAAGAAGGAGGACAGGGAGGAAGGAAGGGAGGGAAGAGACACTGAACACTGTAATAACCAAGCTCGGCCCCGGAGAAAGATTGAGAAAATGCTCCTCTCTCCCTTCCCTGTAGAGATGGGAACAATGGGAACTGAATATCGTACACGTTATCAGACACCATTAATACATTGGTTAATTTTACTGAACTGTTTTTTCTCCCTCTTTCTTTTTTAATCTTTGTCACAAAGGCTAGCTTAATAGAGGAGCCAAAGATATAATCAGGAAAAAATTCATGTAAAAACAAAACAGATGGATAGAGATAGGGACTGTTATCTGTGATTTCATTGATATAAGAAACTCCTGGTTAAGGACATGCCCTTCACCAAGGCAAGTCTACACCTCCTCTACAACTGAAGAGTCTCAGAGTTGCCCAAAGCACTGAGGGTCACTCAGTCAGCAGGGTACTCCTGCCTTCAATGCCAGCTTTCTATCCACCACATCATATGGCCTCTCAAGACAAAAACAAAAAGCTTGAGCAATAAAAATAAGATAAAAATAAAACACTAAAATTTTTTTTAGCAATTTTAAATAACGTCCCTCTGATGTTTTATATTGATTTTATCAAAAAGTTTTTTCAAGACTTCAGTGGTCCTAGCATTTTAAACAAACTGATAGAGAGAGCAACTGGCCCTATGAAATATAAAAATTGTGATGCCTGCAGGGTAGGGGGCCAGAGACCCTCTGGAAAAATCATGGGCAAGAATCACTGAGGAGAAAAAGCCCGGGCACCTGGATTACCCACCCTACCAGAAAAGGTCACAGATCCTGCAAATTTTCAAAGGTGTTTTCTTTTTTGGGGATGCTAGAGGGGTTCAGACCTGAGATCTTATGGCTACAGGGAATTTCCTGCGTCAAGACTCACTTCACTGAGGCAGTTAACCAGTTCATCTGGAAATATAGTCTCAGAAAGCTGGGGTGGGGGTGGTGAGTTAGGTGACTTGCCAAGGTCACAGAGTCAATATATGTTAGAGTGGAAACTTGAACCCAGGTCTTCCTGGCTCCAAGGCTGAAGGGCTAGCCATCAAGTTAGGGTAAACATGTTAAATAGGTAGGTAAGATGAATTTAGAATCATACCAATAAAAGTTTACAGCAGCAGAAAGACTAGGGCCCACAATTCCTTACACACAACAGAAGTGTCTCGCCTCCCTGTGAATAATCAAGTCCTTTGGTTTGCTTCTTTCTTCCCTCAGTTTCACTACCATTATCTCAACCAATGAGCCCAAGAACATCAGAACAAAGCAGGGGACCTCAGAGGCCCTTGGAGGTTAGAGACTTTCAGAGTCAAGAGTGGCCTCTGAGGTTCTGGAGGCCAATCCGTTCCTAAGCAAGGCTGTCTCCACTGTATAACATCCCCAAATACTTCCTCTCCTAAAAGGGAACCTACCACTTCCCCAGGCAGCCCCTCCATTTGGGGAAAGCTCCAGCTCTCAGGAACTTTACCCTCACAGCAAATCTCAATTCTCCTCTTTGTCACATGCCCAAATGGCCCCCAGTGCTGCCCCTCTGGGGCTAAGTAGGAAAAAGGTTAATCCCTTATACAATCCCTCCCTGCCCATTTTAAAGATGAGTATACCAAGGCTCAGGAAGTTGTAGTGACTGGCTCAACAGCAACAGGACTTAATGGCCAGGACAGAAGGAGCATGCAGAGCTCTCACTCAATGAGCAAGGAGCGAGACAAATGCAGATCTTGCAGATGCAATTCATAGAGTTTAGTGCAGCGTGAAGGACATCAGAATATGAAGGTTAAGGGATGTGAGCAAGAATCAAGGTTTGTTCTAAGGTTTCAAACTGGAGGAACTGGCTGGGTGAGGGTGGCGATAACGGAAATGATGATGCAAGAAGCAGATATGAGTATTATTTTTTAAATATATATAAATGGTGTTGTTATAAATAAAATGTAAACTCATTTTTAAAATATCAGTGAATTAAGGGGCAGCTAGGTGGCGCAGTGGATACAGCACTGGCCCTGAAGTCAGGAGGACCTGAGTTTAAACAGCCTCAGACCAAACACTTGACATTTACTAGCTGTGTGACCCGGGGCAAGTCACTTGACCCCGATTGCCTAAAAACAAAAGACAAAAACCAAAACAAAACATAAAATATCAGTGAATTAAATGTTGTTTTATTGTGTACTTTTTCAATCAACATTAATGTGATGTGTCTATACACATATTTTTTTTTCTTTTAAAAAAGGGGTTCTTGGGGCAGCTAGCTGGTGCAGCGGATAGAGCGCCAGCCCTGGATTCAGGAGGACCTGAGTTCAAATCCGGCCTCAGACACATAACACTTACCAGCTGTGTGACCCTGGGCAAGTCACTTAACCCACTGCCTAAAATAACAACAACAACAGCAACAAAATTAAATTAAATTTAAAAAAAATAAAAAAGGGCTTCTCATACTTGAAAAGGTTGAGAATCCCCAGGCTATATGACAGTAAACTGGATTTTGAACTGACTGAGTGAACAAAGCCAGCATAAATTAATGGATGAATCCATGGCAACTTAGGGGGAGCTCTCTGGTGGAGGGTCTGGGCTGTTGACCATTTTTATCAATGACTCACGTGAAGAAATAGATGGCACATTTACCAAACATGGAGATAACATGGAACTGGAAACATGCTGGCAGACAGTGTCAGGAACTTCTAAAGCTCTATTAGAATCAAACTTGCCTTCATTAATTCTTCAACTGCTTTTACCCAACAAACACCCAGCCAGCCCAGACTACATGGGAATATTTTGGTTCATCTCATGCCACGCACTGCACAAAGTACAAAACTTGCTCCTCTTCCCAGGGCTAGCTCTTTTCTGGGGGCTGATGTTCAGTGACAGAATTCTCATTTCCTTCAGGCAAACAAAAATTCTTTCTTCACTTTAAAGACTGGCTATTCTACAGTAGCAGAATATTTGTGATGGAAATATTCGCCTGGACAATAACACTTGGGAGACAGACATGTCACACTTCTTTTAATTTCTCAAGTATCCTAGTTGCACTTAATAGAATACATGATTTTTCAGAATCAATTTCCCCCCTTTGGTTGGTTTTTGACAAATGTATCAAGAAAGTTCGCACTAGCGAGCATGAGCATGAGAATATTTGTATTAACTAAGGAATCGGAAAGCAAAGACGCCCTTAATCTGGTGGCTGAGGGCACTCCTGCTCCGGCAGATCAGATGGGCCTCCACGAGTGCCTCCTCCATCCTCTGGCAGAGGAATCAGGAAACATGGTAGCCTCCCATGGCAACATCTACAAACCCAAGTCTTATCCATCCCAGCCCATGAAGTTTCAGATCCAGCAGAATCTGACTTTCTTTTGAAGTAGGAAACTAGAAAGATTAAAAAAATCAGCGTGGGGGAAATGGTCTCTTGACTTGAGCCCTGGTACGACCCCTTTCCAAAGTGAAGCCCCCCACGTCACACACAAGCTCCAGTTCTAGCTACCCTCGAGAAGCTGGAAGGCTCAGATCTTCTCAGCAGTCACCACAACTGAGCGATGTTAAACCTGAGGAAGGGTCTCAAGTATGTGGCTCTGCTGCGTGCAAGTTACAGAAAAGCACACCGGGACCGGGCTGAATCGATCACACCAATCACAGCCGGGGCTCTGCCCAGGCTCCCCTTCTTCCATGCATCTCCTCCTCCTCCTCCTGGGGCCTTTCTCAGCCTCCCCAGTTACCCACCTTGTGTCTATTCCACCGCAGCGCCCTCCAGCTCATACTCTATGACACCTAATCTCTGAGCCTCAGTTTGCTGGCTTGTAAAACGACCTCTGGTGCCCCTTCCAGATCTAAACCTGGAAACGCCTCGGTCCCACCTGCCAGAGCCTGAGCTGCTCATCCGAGGTCCGGCCCCGGGATGTCTCTTCCCTGTTCCTGGCGCTTTGGCAGAGCTGGCACACAGTAGGTGCTTCGTACCCGCTGGCCTCCCCACTCCCAGAAGCCACGCTTCACTTAGTGCAGCGGCAGGTGGTGAGCCGCCCATCCCTGGAGGCTGCAAGGCCACCTGGGCAGGGTGACAGCTCGGCGGCCAAGGGCCCGGGGCAGGGAGCTGGGCGCGGAGCCAGCAAGATCTGGGTTCCAGTCCCGACATACAGCCAGCACTTAGGAAGCGCCTGCCAGATGCTCAGCGAGGGCAGGGGTCCCTTCCCCCTCGAGGGGCCGCCCGCAGCTCGCTGAGGGCGTGAGCGGCGATCTGCACAGGTAGAGGGGGCTTCCAAACGCGGGAGGGCCCTGTACTGCGGCGTCCTGGGGCTTTCCCATCCCCCCTCTCCACGGAAGCTCCCAGAGGGGACCCCACCCCGGTCCCGGGGCCTCCCCTGCCCTCCCGGCCTGGGTCCGCACCTCCGTGATGATGTCGTGCAGGTAGCGGAACGGGGGCTTGTTCAGCAGCTTCTCCGTCAGCGGCGGCTTCTTGATCACCTTCCCCAGGGCCTCCTGCGTGCGCTTCACCACCGAGGCGTTCATGGCGGCCCCGGCCCCGACCCCGACCCGGCCCCGCCCACACCCGGCAACCTCAGGCCGCTGCCGGGCCCCGCCGCTCCAGCCTCCACCGCGGCCGTCTCCTCCAAGCTCGCCGGCCCATCCCACAATACACCACGTTCTACAATTGCGCCTGCGCGGACGCGCGGCGTTCTGTCGCCAGGCGCGCGCCGCCCTAACAACGGGCAACGAGCCGCTTCCGGTGCCGTCTGGGATGGCCCCGCCCCCAGAGGCCGCCGTCCGCCCAGCGCAGCCCGCCTCCACCACCCGAGCCCTAGCCCCGCCCCCAGCCCTGCTTTGGTCCCCGCCCCCAGGGACGCCCTGGTCCTCTGCCACAACACCCCACCTGCAGGTGAATCGGTGCTAGCACTGAATATGGGATTCAGTGACACACTGAGAGGACACATAGATAGGGGCAGTGCAGGGAGGACAGAGGGGACAGGACACTGTCCGCATCAGCCAAAGTCCAGCCGTAACGACTCCTGTAATTTCTCGGGAAGGAGAGAGGGAACACAGGGAGGGATAAAAGAGGGAGACTGAAGGAAGAAATGGGCTTCCGTGGTGGACAGGGAACCCCTGAGGACTGTTCCTATAGGATGAGAGGGAGAGTCTGCACAGGGAGAGCGGGCTGCGGTGAGCTTAGTCTACAGGGTTTAACGCGTAGACACCCACGTCAGGAGAAATGGAATCAGAGGAATGGAGGGCATGGTCCCAGCAGAGACATTCCAAGGAAAATAGAGGGGAAATGACCAGTGGAAGGGCAAAGGTCAATGATGAACAGCACAATGGGGAACATTAAAAGACCCCTTCCCCAGGACAACCTCTGTCCCCGGCCAAAACTTGGAATTTCTAAGAATGGGGCACAACAGAACAAAGCAAAATCAGGGCCGAAGGGCAAGGTCTAAAGGGCTACCTAACATGGAGACGATTTGGAAGAAGAAACCTAAAATAGGTACCTTAGAAGTTTTCGTCCCACGGAAAATAGAGATTTTAAAGGGGATAAGTTAAGAATAAGGCAATGAGTCCAAGGGGGAAAGTCTAGAATGGACAGAAAGGGAAGGTAAAAATAAATTAGAGAGGGAGAGGAATAATTTTTTTAATTGCAGAAAAATGAAATTTTAAAAGCTAAAAAAATTGAAGGGGTGAGGAGAAAGGGGGATTTCACTTAACAGAGAAAAGAAAGGGAAAATAATTAACTATATAAAATTAAGAAAGAGAAAAGAACTAATAAGTTAGGCAAAACTTCAAAACTAGGAAAAGAGTAACAAATGGGACCCAGAATGGGGACCTCAGGGTGAGGAGAAGGTACCTTAAAATAGATTAATATAACTGAAAACACTACAGAAGGAGGGAGGAAATTCTAATATGGAAACTAAAAATATTAGAGATGAAGAAAAATATAAATTTAACTCTCATAACTTTAAATGTGAAGGGATAAAACAATTCAATAATGAAAAGGAGTGACAATAAGAAAGCAAAACCCTACAATCTGTCATGTAGGAGAAACACATTTATTGCACAAACTGATGCTGAGTGAAATGAACAGAACCAGGAGAACATCACACACAGTAACAGCCACGTTGTTCCACGACTGACTTTGATAGACTTAGCTCCTCTAGGCAATACAAGAATCTAAGACAACCTATGACGGAAAATGCTATCCACCTCCAGAAAAAGAACTACATGTCTGAATGCAGATGGAAGCATACTATTGTATCTCCTTTACTTTTGTTGTTTTGTCTTCTTTCTCCTTTCTTGTGGTTCTTTCCCCTGGTTCTAATTCTTCTATACATCATGACAAGATAAAAATGACAAAAGGAGCAAAAGCGTCAGAAATTCTCCAGAGAGAAAACGTGAGCGAAAAGAAGAGATCTATAATAATGGGAAACCATCATTCTGGATTCAAAGGAGCTGGGATGCAAGGCTTGCTGGCCAAAGTCTGGAGTAGCAGAAGGCCAAAGCTGGCAGGAGTTCAGGTGGGAGAAGGAGGAGGAAGAGCTGAGGCACCCAGAATAAGCAGAAAAAATGAACCCCAAAAGCAGTGGCAGCAACCAAAAAAGCTAGAGATTTCCCAAGATACAATTTATGAGAGAAATAGACTTAGGCAAAAAAGAAGAGAATCATTAAAAGGCTATGGGGAGGTCAGGTTGGACTAAATTCAGGAGACTATTTAGGTCCTAGGAACAGCTGAAAAATCTCTGGAAATGAGGAAGCTAAGTCATTTAGAATCTAATGTAGAAAAATGAATTGAAAATAGAAACACAGGTGTGATGGATGCCAAGTAGAGTGATTTTGCTGGAGGGCATCCTGGCAGGAGGAATGAGGAAAAGAGAACATCACGGTGAAATGGCTAAAGATCCACAGAAATATGAGGCAGACAAAAGTGACAGGTTATGAGGATGGATCAAGGAGTAAAGCATCTAAGAAATAGTGTGGGCCCTTCAAGATTACTCAAAAGTGAGCTGTTTGGGGCAGCTAGAAGGCTCAGTGGATAGAGCAGTTGCCCTGAGTCAGGAAGACCTGAGTTCAAATCCAGCCTCAGACACTTGTCACTTACTAGCTGTGTGACCCGAAGCAAATCAAATAATGAACCCCAATTGGCTCCCCCTTCCCCCCTGCCAGCAAAGTAAGCATTTTATAAGTCTGAATTGTTTCTATTGGATAATGTCCTCCCAATTCTTTCCACTGGGACAGACTGAGAGCTTCCCAGGCAAAATAAAATGCCACCAGGTAGCATTTGGCTTTTGTATAGGACAAGTGAAAGTTTCTCATATGAAATGGAAGCTATGCCCCAAAATTTAGTTAAGACTTTAGCATTAGCTGAGCCTAAGTTTTGTTTTCCTGTAAATCATGTAATAGGGTCATACAGCAGCTGCCCACCCCCTCCCTTGTTTTGTAACCATCACCCCAGCCTTATCTTTACCAAATAAGGCAATCTTCTAGCTTCCAAGCTTGGTTTGGGTAAAACGTATCTTAGTTTCTGAATAGAATGTAAGGTCTCTTACATTAATTGTGCCTTCAGAAAGAAAGAGAAAAAGGAATGAATCTGGCTGTTGGGGATTCAAGAAAGCATAGAATTTCCAAATTTTATTTAAAAGGAATATTCAGTTAAAATTGTTTTGTTATCATTTATGAAATTTGTGAGATTGTTAACTAAGTTGTTTGGGATTACTGTTTTAATACTAAAACCCAAGAGGGATAATTAATTACTGCATCTGTGTGGGCAAGGTTATCTGCCCTGAGAAAAGAACTTGTTAGGATTACACAGCTCCTAGACAATGAACTTAGCTTGCTGAGAATTTGCAAGTGTATAGAAATGATTTCTAATGATTGGCTTTTACACCAGGATAAGTTTAAATTTGAGAAGGAAAGATATAAAGTGAGATCTCTTATGTATGTCAGTCCTGATAAATCTATATTGCTTATTGCAACTCCAAGTAAAGTAAAATTAACTGCATCTGGCTTTAGGCTGTCATTAGTGAGACTTGCAGTTTGAGGTAAAAGGCTCTTGGAACTATAACGAATTTTGAGTTTAAATTTTGGTATAGTTGTCTGCATTAAATCAGAATCTGAGAGAAATGCCCCAAGAACAAGTGGAGGTTGAGTTAGAGGAAATGTGATTCATTTGGGGAAAAGGCCGAGGGGACAATCTTAGCCTCAATCTAGGATGGGATCCTTCTGGCTCAGTTTCCCCATTGTGTTCCTTTGGAAAGGAATGTTTCCCACCCATTCCTGAGTTTGGCTATGAGGAGAAACAGGTACTCCATGTTTGGAGAACTGCGACTCTATCTGAATTTACACAAAGTTAAGGACATGTCCCTGCCCTTTTTCCTTCTATAGTAAGTTTCTATGATTAGAGCAAGTAGTCAGTATAAGATATAGTGGCAAGTCTCTATAATCAAAAGGTCTTATAAGTACAGTCACAAATTTACCAAAATAATTGATTATGGAACATCTTAGGTTATTGTAGAACTGGGACTGTGTTCAGGTATGAGTTAGGGTCTTTTAATTCTTGGTAATGGTATGGAGATGATGAGGGGCTTGTGAGAATGTTATCTTGTTATTTGTATAATATCACACTCGTCTAAAGTTTTGTTACCATTGATTAGTAATGTCAAAAGTATGGCTTGTGATTTATGTTGCAAATGCCATCAAAGAAACAAGGCATGACTAAAATTTTAAGATTCCATATGTACTGTGTTAAAAATTGATATGTATGTACTGGAGCCTGTGATTAATTCCATAGTGAAGTCTCATCCCCTGGTGAGGAAATTAATAATGGATTAATGTAAAGTATAAGACACGGGGTTCTGATGTGAATTTCTTAAACACGACAATTGGCCATGATTTTAATTTTGAGTTTGTAAAAATGATCGGGGTTATAAGGACTAGAAATAGTGATTTAAAATTGTGCTAAGGTCACTTTTGTAGGAGAATGTACAAAAAGCTGGTTCCTACAAGAAGACAAGAAAAGGAAGAAGCTGAGATGCTGTACTGGAGATGGCTGGAGCAAATACCAAGGACAAGAGGACTTCATTGATGGTGTTCCCTGCCAGACGGCTACATAAGAAGGGACTTTTTGAATCTTACAGGGACAATTGCATTATCGTTTTCTTTTGGGTCTCCGCACCTACATTTATGAAGGGGCTTCCCCTTTTATTTCTCAGTGCTTAGATTAATCCTTCCCATATTTACTTACAGGGGTGGTCCTGGTTTGGGGGAACTGGGTGGAAGCAGGTTTTATGGTTCTTATTGACAGCAATGAGTGGAGTCGTACTATCCCAGTGTGTGTGTCCCTTGCATGACTACTGTACAAAGGACACTCTTAAAGAGCCTGTCAGTGAGTCCATAAGACTAATGATATCAGGGAATCAAGGGTGGATGGCAGTTAATCAGGAGGAAGAAGGGCCGGATCCTGATGAAATAGCAAATAGGGAGGCTGAAGAAACCTACCAGTTCTGGTGGTGAGAAACTTTCAACTATGAAATGAGAGGGGGGACTGTGTGGGACAAGGGAAAGTTTCTCATATGAAATGGAAGCTATGCCCCAAAATTTAGTTGTCTTTACCATTAGCTGGACTTAAGTTTTGTCTTCCTGTAAATCATGTAAAAACAGCTGCCCACCCCTTCCTGTGTTTTGTAACCATTACCCCAGCCTTATCTTTACCAAATAAGGCAATCTTCTAGCTTCCAAGCTTGGTTCGGGTAAAATGTATCTCTTAGTTTCTGAGTAGAATGTAAGGTCTCTTACCTCAACCAATGGGATAAAGAGATTGAGGTAAACAAATTGGAGGGGGGTTCTTAGAGTTGTTTGTCTAGGAGTATATAACTTGTTTGTTCACTGCCTGTATCTCGCCTCCCTACTCCAGTCCACCCTGGGTAGGTGATGCCCAATTCTTGATCGAGACTTGCTAGAATAAAACTTTTGTTTCTACTGAGAGAAACCTCTGAATTTTTATTTGGGTAGGTGGCCTCTATCCCACTCACTCTCATATGCAGAGGAGTGAGTGAAGTGCTCACTGGTGGCCCAGGGTGGACAGCCAGGGGCAGAAGTGCCTAGGTAATGCAGCCATCCTTCCTACTTCATTAGTTCCTTCTGTTCTTGGCCGTAGGGCATACTATGTATTTTTCTCTCTCAAGATGGAGGTCTTCAGTGCTCTTGAGCTCTATATGTCTCTTTTTCTCAGAAAGCTCTGCCAATAATATATCCCAGTCAGCCACATAAGGCCTCCCAGAGTCTCTCATACATTCTGGGATCCTTGTCCTTGTAACCTCCTTCTTAATTGGTGATAGACTTTGTCTTTTAAAAATTAAACGATATTTCAATTATCTTTTAAATAAAATTTTAAAATAAAACTTATTTCAATTATCAAGACTTTGTTTTTTTTCTTTCTCCCACCTCCCCTTACTCATCCCTCCTCTGAATAAAAAAGAAAACCAAAGCCCTTGTAATAAGTAGACACAAGTCAAGCAAAAACAATTTCCCATATTGGAGATGTCCAAAGATGCATCTAATTCTGAAGATTTAGTCTGTTATCTGAGGTGGGTTGCATTCTCCATCGCTGGTCCTCTGGAGTCAGGGCTGGTCATTGTGTTTATTCTAAGGTCTTTAAAATTGTTTAGTTTTGCGACGTTGTTTTTGTACAAACTGTTCTCCTGGTTCTGCTTATTTCACTCTGCATTGATTCATACAAGGCTCCCCTGGTTTCTCTGAAACCATCTCTTTCATCATCATTCACACCAAAATATGTGTAGGCAGTGTGAAGCAGGTGCATATTGCTTTAGTTTCCAGGTCTTTGCCATTACAAAAAAGGTGTTATAATTAAAATATATGATATGGAGAGAGGGAGAGAGAGGAAGAGAAAAAGAGATGGAGAGAGAGAGAGAGAGAGAGAGAGAGAGAGAGAGACAGAGACAGAGAGAGAGAGAGAGAGAGAGAGAGAGAGAGGGAGAGAGAGAGAGAGAGAGAGAGAGAGAGAGAGAGAGAGAGAGAGAGAGAGAGATGTGTTAAACTTTTTCCTCTTTCTTTGCTCTCTTTGGGGTTGAGACCTAGACTTGGTGCTGCTGGATAAAAGGGCATCACACATAATAGAACCACTTTGGAGGCAAAGTCCCAAACTGCTTTCCAGGATGACTGAGCCAATTCACAGCCTCACCCAAAAGGCACCAACAGGCCTGTCTCCCTGCAGCCTCTCAACATTGGTCATTTTATTTTCTGGACAGTCTAGAATTCTTAACACATTAGCCTGGTCCTTCCCCCCCAAAAAAAAACCCCTGTAGATGGCGCCAGAGAGCAGCTTTCCTGCTAATCTTCAGCTGCTGGAAGTAGGCAGAGCAATTTCTCTTAATCTCAGATGCCTCTTTTAGGTTCACTTTTGACTCTGTCCCTGCCGTCCTTTTCTTTAGAGCCAAATCAATGACTAACCCAGGCTTCCTTCCTTAGGCAGCTGTTTTCCAGCTTTTTCACAACATGTCAGAAGGCTTTGGCTCTTCCTCTCTCTCCTCATCTCTCTCTCTCCATCCCTCCATTTACCTCTCTCTGTCTCTCTCCTCCATCTCTCTCTGTGCCTCTCCTTCCTCTCTCTCTTTCTCCTCTCCCATCTCTGTGTCTGTCTTCCTCCATCCTTCCTTCCTCCCTCCCTGTCTGTGTCTCTCTGGGTCTGTCTCTGTGTCCTTCTCTCTCTCTCCTCCCTCTTCCCTCTCTCTCTCAGCACTTCCTGGACCCTGCTTCTTACTGCTTTCTTCTGGACAGTGCCATCTCTAGGGCCCTGGACCTACAATGCCTAGAATGACTCCCTGCATCCCTGCAGTTAACATAGCTAAGGTCACTGAATTCCACAGCCACTGTACCCCAAACCTGCAGACTTAACACTATATTAAAACTCATATTAAACAAGGGAATATTACATGCTTTGGGTTCTAGATGTTTTCTGCTTTTCTCTCTCTCTCTCCTATTTGAATGACTGGGGAGAGAAAATGGCTTTTTCACTTGCAGGCATGGATGCTGATGGTTGGGGCTGATAACTCAGAATCAGAGATTAAGAGTTCCCAGGCACCTTAGGTATCCACTCCATCCTCCATCAGAATAACAATCCCATCTGTATTTTAACCATGTGGTCACTAAGTCTCTGCCTGAGGACCTCCAGAGAGGTCTAAGGGACTTCCAGGGAAGCACCACTGGACTTCTAGACAGACCTAATTCCTAGGTGAAATCAGCCTGTCTGCAGTATTCACTCAGGTCCTACTTGTGCCCTCTTGGATTCCCCTAAACAATTCTTCAAATACCTGAAGACAACCATCTTCTTCCCTCAGTATCTTCTCTTGTCCTAGGGAAACACCCCTAAGTCCTTTACCCAAGCCTCCATAGCAAGTTCTCTGGTCCTCTCCTCATTCTGGTCCTTGTCTTTTGGACACACTCCTCCGGACACACTCTCCACACCTTTTCTAAAATATAGTGACCCAGAATGAACATAATCTTCCACATGGGTCCTGACCAAGGCAGGGTCTTGCAGAACTACTGCATAAAGGAGTGTGGGGCGCCAGGAGGGAGAGAACACTGAACATTCTGAGAGGACAGTGTTAGCAACTGAGAGAGAGAAGGGCTGAGGAGGCTGTATCCTAGTCTTTCACAGAGGAGATGTCACTGAAAGGACGGAAAAAATCTCAGCACTTGCCTAATTTTCCGTATAAAACTGGTGCACCAGCCAACTGTGCTGTGGAGAAGGGAAGCACAGTGAAAAATAACAAGGGTTGGGGGGTTTTAGGCGAAATTTTTTAAAGCTCCATTGGGATCAAAAGAAGAAAGATGGGAGAGGACTTGGTCTGAAGGGTCTGGCAGCAGAAAATGATAAAGAACGGAACTATTCAACTCTGTTCTTGCCTTTGTACATGATGCTGACCCGAGGGGGTTCATTCAGGACTGTCTCTAGACCAGCCTGGGGTTGAGGAAAGAGGACTGAGTTTGCAACGATAGAATGGAGGTGCAAATCTCAATTTTGTTACTTCTCATTTTTATGAGCTTGGAAAAACCTCTCAACATCGTTGGCCTTCAGTTTCCTGCTCTGTAAAACAAAGGAGATTATTTCTTAAGATCCTTTCCAGGGGTAATGTTATACTCTCTTTAAAATTTGGAGTGTAATGGTTTCCTAGATGGGGTGATGAGACAAGAAAGAGGGAAAATCCCACCAAATGTGCCCAGATTCTTTGTTTCTGAAAAAAAAAGGTCACTGGGGATCCACACCTTCATATTTCAGGCAGTTCAGAACCAACCTTAGGCTAAAATAGTACTCCTCATTTTGTTAAGCTCTTTCCTTTTGTTGTTATTGAGTTGTGTCTGACTCTTTGTGACCTCATTTGGGGTTTTCTTATGAAAGAAATTGGAGTGGTTTGCCATTTCCTTCTCCAGCTCATTTTTCAGATGAGGAAACTGACGCAAACAGGGTTAAGTGACTTGCCCAGTCACACAGCTAGTAAGTGTCTGAGGCCTGAATTAGAACTCAGGCCTTCCTGACTCCAGGCCCTAACCTCTAATCACTGGGGGACCTCGCTGCCCCTTTTACGGTGAGATAAAGTCTTCTACTCTGAGATAAAGTCTTCTACTCTGATTCCAAATTCCACTTATTGCACTCTAATTCAGTCATTATTCTGGGATCCCTTGCTTGCTTATCCACACAGCCTGGGAAGGTTATAAGACTTGCCTGAGCCACAGCTGGGATGGAGGTCATTAAAAGGAGGTGGCAGTACAGCCCTCCACCAATCAGTCTGCAGATTTGTTAACTCCTCAGACACCCTCAGTTTTGGGTGAGGACACTGTCTTCCTCACTTCTAAGAAGGGGAAAGGGTCACACTGAGGAGGGCTGGTGGCTGGAAGCCAGCAGAGGAGGGTGAAGGGCTGGGCCCTTCTTTTTCTCTGGTTCAAACTGGGAGCACAAGAGCCGGGTGTTCCTGGAGTGATGATGGGAGGGAGGGAGACTCGGGCGCTCCACAGATTCAGAGGCTGTGGTGGGAATGACACAGAAAGAGGGAAGGTCTGCAAAGCTGGGGATTTCCTCCGAGTCAGTTTCAGTTTTGGTCGGTCTCCTAACCTGTGAGCGCTCATTCTGCCCAGTCACCAATGACGTTTTCAGTCTTTCGTTTGCTATTGGCCGGCAGAGCCTCTGTGAAGCCAACCACAAGTTAGGGATTCGCCCCTCTATAAACCCAGCGCAGACTGGTCTCAGTGACACTGCTTCTCTGCCCGTGGACCATGGAGGCTTATCTGCGCGCTCTCTTTTTGCTGGGGACCCTGGCCCTGCCGGAGACCTGGGCAGGCAAGTAGAGAATAGACTTAAGCCGCCGCCTGGAGACTGGACACACCAGGGGTGGACGTGTGGGTGGGAGAGGGTTTCCTACAGAAAGCTCCTCCAGCACCGGCCCAGGGTGGGTTTGCAGGGAACCGGCGCCTCAATGTCAGGTGAAGTCAGGGTGATGGTGAAAGGAAGAATCTCGTGTGTGTGTGTGTGTGTGTGTGTGTGTGTGTGTGTGTGTGTGTGTGTGTGTGTGATGGGGACCAGTCCCTTAGCTGGGCTTTGGCAGGAGGGAGGGGATCTTGGTGTTGGTCCCTTAGTTTGGGGGGGCGGGTGAGGACGAGGGGCGCTGAGGCAGAGGAGCCGGGAGGGAGAATGGGTGCGACAGTCCTGGGGGGTTAAGGAGCAGAGCTGTCCGGGAGCCCCCCCTTCCCCCATCCAAGGGCAAGGACAGAGAACCAGAGCAGCTTTGTTAAAGAGCTTCTCGGAGGATCGTGGGGGCCGGGGGTATGAGGCCGGGAGCAGGGGAGGACCCAAGGTGGGGGGCTGGGGGTGAGGAGTGGGAGGTACCCGGGAGCTGGCTCAGAGGTGGGGCCGGGGGGAGGGGCTAGGTCGAGGCGCAGGGGCACTAGGACCTGCCTGGGCTGTCAGTGAAGGCGTTTTTGCTGATCTCAAAGCGCTACAGTCTCGAGAATTATTACCTCCCGGCGCCGTGCGCCGTCACTGTTCGGGGCGGACGGGCCGGATAACGGGAGTTAGGAGTCCGGGGTCACATCCTGGGCGCGACGGGGCCAAAGGTCACGCCCGGTAGATGCGGGGTCAGAGGTTACATCCCGGGTGTGTCCGGGTCAAGCACGGGGTCAGGGGTCGCAGCCCGCTTTGGCGTCAGGCCACCGGGGCGTGTTTACGCGGTCTCCGCCCTGACCCCTGACCCTGCCGTGTCCCCACGCCCAGGCTCTCACTCCCTGAGGTATTTCTACACCGCCGTGGCCTCCCCCGAGCTCGCGGAGCCGCGGTTCCTCATCGTGGGCTACGTGGACGATCAGCAGTTCGTGCGCTTCGACAGTGCCCGCGCGAGTCCGAGGATGGAGCCGCGGGCGGCATGGATAGAGCGGGTGCAGCAGGAGGAGCCGGGCTACTGGGACCAGGAGACGCGGAACATGAAGGCGGTCACACAGACTTACCGAGTGAGCCTGCAGAACCTCCGCGGCTACTTCAACCAGAGCGAAGGCGGTGCGTGACGGGGGCGGAAGCGGAGCGGGGGAAGGCCGGGGCCGAGCCGGCCCGCGGTCATGGCGGCTCCCACGGGGGCGGGGGCTCCCGGGGCTGGAGGACCCGCGTGGGGGCGGGGCACGGGGGCAGCCGGAGTCCGTCCGCACTGACCCGGGCCGGGGCGGGGCAGGGGTCCACACCATCCAGCACATGTACGGCTGCGAGGTCTCCCCCGAGCTCACCTTCAAGCGCGGGTTTCTCCAATACGCCTACGACGGGCGGGACTACATCGCCCTGGACTCGGAGACCTCCACGTGGACGGCGGAGGTGCCGCAGGCTCTGAACACCAAGCGCAAGTGGGAGGCGGAAAAGAGCTACACGGAGGGACAGAAAGCCTACCTGGAGGAGACGTGCGTGCTGTGGCTGAAGAAGTACCTGGAGATGGGGAAGGAGACGCTGAAGAGGACAGGTACCCCCCCCAGTGTGCGCGGCACTCAAGGCCCCCGCCGCCCTTCTCCCTCCCCTGCAGCCCCAGGCCTGCGCTCCCGACCCCCAGGCACCCCTTGTACCCCACGGCCGTGACTGCGGGGTGTCCCCCTGCCCCCACCCGTCCTTGTGTCCCTGGTGGGGAAGGAGAGCCTGGCCATGCCGCTGACCTTTGCCTGCAGACCCGCCCTCCGCCCGAGTGACCCGCCACACTGGCCCCCACGGGGAGGTGACCCTGCGGTGCCGGGCCCAGGACTTCTACCCCGAGGACATCTCCCTGACGTGGCTGAGGGATGGGGAGGAGCAGCTCCAGGACGCGGAGTTCATTGAGACCAGGCCGGCGGGGGAGGGGACCTTCCAGAAGTGGGCAGGTGTGGACGTGACCTCGGGCCAGGAAGGGAAATATACCTGCCGAGTTCAGCACGAGGGACTGCCTGAGCCCCTCACCCTGAAGTGGGGTAAGGATCGTGAGGAGGGGCTGGGGAAGGCCATCCCCCACACCCCCAAAAGACCAGAGGGAGGTGGGGTGACTGGGGGAGGTGGGGGAGGGGTTGGTGACTCTGAGGCCCCAGAGGGATCAGGCCTCTCACTGCACTTTTCCATTTCAGAGCCAGAGTCCTCATCCCCCTGGTTCATCGTGGGGGGCATTGCTGTCCTCCTCCTCCTCACTGCAGCCATTGCTGGAGTTGTGATCTGGAAGAAGAATACTTCAGGTGGGTAGGACTGGGAGGGGGTCCTTGGGGAGCAGGCGCCATAGAGATCCTGGCTTCCCCTGACCCGCAGCTTGTCTTTCTGTCCCCAAATCTTCTCTTTCCCATGTAAGGGACTCTCAGATGGGCCCTAAGACTCCAGACGAACAAATAGAAACTATTTGCTGGAGGATGCCGGGCAGGGGTTTAACAGGCTGGCTGAGTGGGGAATCTGCTTCAGACTCAGATCGGAAATGCATGTGGGGATCTCTGCCAGAGGGCCTGGGGGGGTCTCCCTGGCTGGGGACTGTAGACCAGCCTTGGCAACCCCTGGAGGTGGGGAAGTGCCCATTTGGGGAGCCTCTTCTCTCTTCCTCTTGGATCCAGAGGCTGGACTGGAGTGGGGGATGGGGGTGCAGTCCCCATTGTAATTTGTTGTGTCTCCAAGACAAACCAGTGAACTCCTGAGACCTTGGTGTGGTCTCCTCTCCTGGATTCCTGACTGGAAATTTGTTTCTTTTCCAGGTGGAAAAGGAGGGGACTATGTTCCTGCTGCAGGTAAGTGAAGGGTGGACATGGAAGGTAGAAGGAAGGCCCAGCCCATGGTATCAGGGACCTGGGCAGTGGGAAGGCAGAGGAGAGGCTTAGCCCAGGAGCCTTCCCTTGGTGTCCCCTTCTCTTCCCATACCCTGGTTCTAGAATGTATGTCCTTGACTGGGTCATTTCCCTCCTTTGTCTCTAGGCAATGACAGTGCACAGGGGTCAGATGTCTCCCTCACAGTCAAAGGTGAGACTCTGGGGTCCTGGAAGGGGAGAGGGGCTGGGGTAAAGGGGGCCAAGCAAAGAGGAGGGTGGGTGAGAGGTTGGGCTGAGGACTGGATGGGTGGTGAGGCAGGCCCTTCACAATGATGAGAGGCTGGAGGCCAGAGGGGACTTGGACGATCTCCCTGAATCTGACTTTCCTTCTTCAGCTTGAGAGAATTGCCTAGTGTGGACCTGAGGAAGAAAACAAGTCTCCAGTCCCTATATTGTTCCTGTGGACCCCTGGCTTCTCTCCCCAGCACTAGCCCCTGGTATCCTCCTTGGACTCTACTGGCCCAAGCCAATGTGGTCCTCACCCTGCTCTAAGACCTCTCTCCTCCTTTCTCTCTGCTTGTCTCACTCTGCAGAGACAACAGCAGTTAGAGCCAGAGGCTTTGGGAGTGAGCCCTACTTCACACATGGTGCACTGACCTCTGGGATCTTTGTGTGATTGCAAAAACAGCCCTATGAATTATTGCTCTTGAAATTTCAGCTTTTCTGCGCAATCTCAGCTAAGCTTCACTTTTGGGGGACAAGGTGACACTTCTGGCCACATGACAGGAAAATAAAAGAAAGTGTTGAGATGTCTGGGAATCCTTTTAGTTGCTCTGCTGAGTCTGTGAGTGCAGATGGGGGCTGGGGCCAAGAGGGGAAGGAGCCTGGGGGAGGGCCGGTGTGTTGTACCTGGTGAGGGTGCAAACCCTTGTCTTTGCTTGTACTGCTCGAGTGCACTTGTGGACGTGGTATATTGGGACTTGTTCCGTGACTTCTCCTCCTGGAACTGGAAAGATGCCCAAACAGGCTGCTGGCCCATAGGCCGCTCCTCAGCATGGACTTCAGGGAGTTCCAGTTCTCTTTGTATTGTTGTCATTTTCCTCCCGCCTTGTGTGTCCCTGCTTTTTTTTCATTGCAGGGGCCTCCCTGAGGGCTTCTGTGGCCTCTGCTCAGGGCCCATTCCAGGACCCTGGGGCACTGCAGGGAGTGACCTTCTGGTCCCCTTTTTAGACTATCTCAGAGTGGGGGCTCTTCCTCCCCTCTGAGGAGGGGAAGGGTTTCCCTTTGGAGTTAATGAAGGAGGGAGTATCTAGTTTCTAAATAGGAAAAAGTCCCTGCCCCTTCTCTGCTCCCTGGAGTCCCTGCTCTGTGCATGCTCAGAGCCAGCTGATTGATCACCTATATCTTCCCTCCTCCTCCTTTCCCCTTTGGAATGATCCACTCTGCTGGGAACGTTCCCCTTTACCTCTTTTGTTCTGCCCTAGTATTTCTTTCCCCAAGAGACCAGTGTTTTCATTGTTTATATTTCTCTCCCATCTTGAAATCACCATCTCAGTTTAGCTCAGACCATTATTTTTCCTCATCTGAGGCCTCCCAAGTTTTGCTCCCTTGTTCCAAAATCCCTGTGCGTGGGAGTTTACATTACCGTTATTAACTGATCTAAGGAAGGCAGTCACAAAGTAGTGGAAGCAGCACAGATTTAGGCCCTACTGTCTCCTAGCTGATAGGTGATAATTGAAAATATTTGCTACAAATATGTTGGGTCAGATCCTGGGTCATGCTAGACATGTGTTGCTCATACCACACTCTTGAGTGGCTAGGATATAGTTTTTACAACAGAAGGTTCTAGGCCTCTCTCTGGGCCTCTTCATCGAAGAAGGCAGGGGATTCTGTGATAAGTGGGGTGGACCATCTCCCCTGGGGTGTAAGCCATCTTATCCTTGGCCAAACAGGATTTAGGGACCCTGGGGTTGAAGTAGGGAAAGAGCTTCAAGGGAGTGGAGCCATATTCTTCTTTGAGCCCAGAAGCTTCCTCTTGCCCTAGTCATCCAGTTGTGGAGGGTTGTATATGGAGGACTTGTTTTTTCTCACAAGACTTCCTGTTCCCATGCGGCTTACAAGGAGCTGGACAAAAGTACTGCTTTTATATCGGTCATGAATAATTCACTGAAATATGAAACATCTCTCATAGAACTGGAGTTACTTTTCTGACCCTGCTCTCCAAACTCTGTGACCCCCGGGGTCCAGCTTTCCAAATCCCTCTCTTAACCATCACAGGTGTCCATAAGCAGGAGGGGCTGCTCCAGGAGGCCTGGTCTTGGAGGGACTGAGTGAGCAACCCTTGTGGGGTTGTTAGAGTGTGGATTCCATGCAGGGGTAGGTTTGACCAGAGGGGTCAAATGCATAGCCTGCTGCCTGGCTGCAGGGTGCTGGAATGCTTTGGAAGCAGATTAAAGAGTAGTTGGGAGATATGTAACAAAGACATGAAAATACAATAAAGCGGAAAACATTTCCTTGTAAACTAAGTCAGTATATGGCAAGAAAACCCTAAATGGGGTCCTAGAGTGTTGGACATGACTGAAAATGACTGAGTAACAACAACAATAAATTTCTGTTTGAGTTTGACGTCTCTGGTTAGACTAGCTGACCTCTGAGGGCCCAGAGGACTCCCAAATTCTGTGATGTTGATTTTCCCTACACTTATGGTTGATTCATATCAAGGAGTTCACTGGCCCTTTGCTACTAGCCACTGAATACACATAGGACCACGGAAGGACGTTGAGATTGGGGAACAATTGTTGGGTCAACATCCTTTTAGAGTCCCACATATTTGGTCTGGAGTCAGGTCTGGCAAACCCAGGCTTTCCCATCCCAAACCTTAGCTGGCCCTATAAGAACCTTGGCTTTGCCTTCCTAACAGTCTCACTTGTAGCTCATAGGTTCAAAGCAAGAGATCTCTGGCTTCTTATTAGCCTTAGTATTGATGGGGTGCTTGTGCTTGGACCCCAGTTACTCCCTAGTCTCAGAAACACTGTGTCTGACAATCACTCCCCAGCCCAAGGACACTGTGCCTAGCAATTACTCATGAGTGGGCCCCAGCAAGACCCTTATCTCTCTCCCTGGTGCAGCTACACAAAACTGGGTGAGAGAGTGCTGGGCTGCTCAGGCAACTAAATTCCTTAGTTCCTGTCCTGTGAGAAAGCTCTTCCTTGTTGCAACGCATTCTCTCATCAAGACGGGGGGGGGGGGGGGTGCCTTGCCCAGCCCAAGGACTCTTCCTCCTGCCAGACTCCAAAGATCCATACCTCTGTCATCTCCCTCCCTGTCTGGTATACTCCCTACACTTTCCCATCCATAGCTCCCAAAGACACCTGGACCTTTAGATTCCCTAATCAATGTCCCTGGCATTCCTCTCCTATGCCCTTTTCCATATAAACCTTAGCTCCATCCTCAGTCTCTTGCAGGTTCCTACAGAATCCTTGCCCACTGAAAAGTGTAACAATAAATCTTTGTCACCTTGACTTAAAGAATGCTTGAGTCTGAATTTATTCCAGATGACCCTGTCCTGTACTCCAGTCTTTGAGGGGTCTCAACTTCTCAGACCGCAACAGTATCACTGACAATGCATATGTTATTCTCATTTTACTGATGAAGAAGCTAAGGTCCAGAGAGGCTCAGTGAGATGCTCAGAGCCAAACACCCAATGAAAGCCAGAGTTAGGACCTGATGTCAGGTTCATGGGGCCTCCCAAGCCCAACACTCCAATCCTAGCAGCAGCCCTGGTAAAGCCTGGCCTGGATAGACCTGTGGAGGTCTGCCTCTGAAACCTTCCTTCTGTGTCTCCAGTTAAATCCCTTAAATGTGGGTACTTCATTCTGCAGCTTTCTAGCAGGGATCTCCCCTGGAATCTGCAAATATCTCTGGAACCTTCAAACAAAGGCATAAGCAGGATGGGAGGGGAAAGGAGGTGTCTTGTGTGTCATAGCCGTGTGCTTCCAGCTCCTGTGTTTGCAGCCCCTGAGCCTCAATGGCATGCCTGAAACTAACCCCCCTGGCCCTGTCCAAAGTTAAGGGACTATTAAACCAGCAGATGAATTGCATTTTCTTTGGCATCCACATGAGATGAAATTGGGGCTCACTTTCCTCATTTGCAGCAGAATGTGGGTCTAAATTTCAAGGGAGTGAGGTGGCTCAGTTAGTGCAGCCTCTGACTTAGAGTCAGGGAGACCTGAGTTCAAATCCCATGTCAGACACTTAATAGCTTTGTGACCCTGAGCAGGTCACTTACCCTCTCACCTCAGGTTTCCTGAGATGGGGCTCATAATAGCACTTCCTTCCCAGGGTGATTGTGAAGGTTATAGGAGATCATATTTAGAAAGTGCTTTTGCAAAGCTTATTATAGAAATACTCGCTGATACTATTATTGCCTTTAAGAGCTAATTCCTGTGATTCTGCCAATTCTAAACAGTCATTCAATCATCACAAGACTCATTGAAAAGATAACTTTCATCCCTCAGAATTCCTCCCAGTGTGAAGGAGGCATTGGTCATTTATCTCCTAAGCAGGGAGCCTCCTTCCACCCAGTGGATAGCCTTGGTATTATAGTATTCAGAATCATAAGGTGTGAGGAGGGTGCAGTCCTCTGCCAAACCAGCCTTTGAAGCCTTCAGACTTCCTAGTGAGCTTGAGGACTTTACAGGATCATCAGTCTAGGGTCTGCGAAGGCCTCCGAGGCCATGTGCCCCAGCGGCCTAGAACAGCACCCAGTCCATAGCAGACTCAGTCAATGCTACTGGCCTGACTCCACTCCCCCCAATCCATTCCTCTGATCTCTAGAACTTTCCTATGAAAGTAAAATCAGATTGATAATGCCTAAAAACTTGATTATTCAGTAGAACACTGATAAGTAACACATTATTGAAGGAAGATTCTGTTCATAGAGGGCCCTGCAGCTGCTTTCTGAGTCACTGAAGAATAAATTGCACAGAAATTGAACAATCATAAAAAACACAAGGTCATGATTAAATGCAGCTCATGAAGTCCAGGCTAGGTCAGCCATAGCCTTTCAGAGAAGCTAGTCCCGGATACCCAGGGAAGGCTTCCCAGTGAGAAGGGGACTTCAGCTTCAAAGAAGTTACTTTTGTCTATGTCAGGGGCTCTTCACCTGAAGTACACTGACCCCTGAGGAATTTGGTGAGAGTTTTCAGGGAATCTGGGAACTTGGTTGGGAAAAAAAAAACCTTTATTTTGACTAACTTCTAATTGAAATGTAATCATTCCTTTGGCTATTGTATTTTCAAAAACTGCAATAGCATCCTGAGAAGGTATTTATTAAAAGCTTCAACAGATGACACACAAATGAGTTAAGATGCCCTGATCTAGGTTATGGAGTGGTCAGGAAATGTGTCATTAGGTAAATGTAGGTGTATTAATTGTTGGTGAAGTTAACCATGTCAGTATCACCCAATATTGGCCAAATCCTTTTAGATAAAATACATTTAACATGCATAAGTATGAGTCTTTTAGACTGTAAAACACTGAAAACTAGACTTGTTTCCTTGTATCAGGATAATGAGGGAAACACAACTGCATGTTAGGCGCCCTTAGGCATTTTCCATATGTGTGTATACATACACACATGCATATGTATGGGAGACAATAACTACTAACCAACCAACCAATTCAAGATTTCTTAATAACCTGCTGTATGCCAGTCGCTGTCCTAGGTGCTGGAGACAGAAAGGCTCCCATGGAACAGCCCCTGCCTTGAAGGCGTTTTCATCCTGCCAAGGTTTATCCAGGACCAGTTTTCTGTCACTGCATTTGATCAGAGCACTGCTATTTTTAAGTCGTGTTATTATGAACTTGACAAACATGGTCTTTCCCTATACAAAGAAGAGAAAAATGGTTTGTATTTGGAATGTCAATTGATTTTCACATGATGAATTTGTAAAGAATTAAATGCCATAGTTCCCAAACTGACCTGTTTTCTCTGTAAACCTCTTTCTGCTTTCTTCTGTGCATTTCATGTGCCTCTTTGATGATATTTTCTTTCTTTTTTTTTGTCACTCTCACCACCAGCTCCCAAATTGCCCCATTCTCCAAACACGAACCCCTTATAACAAAGAAGTAAATGACAATCATCCTCTCTCTTTCCCAAGGTGGAAAATCATTGTTGGTCTTTGGGAATTGTGAGTGGTCATTGCATTGATCAGAATTTTTAAGACTTCCAAAATTGCATTGCAAATACTCAAATTGACTATAAAGGATCTGTAAAGGAAGAGGCTATATGCATCTAGAGAAAAACTGGCAAATAGAATTATGTAGAGAAGGATTTTACACACACACACACACACACACACACAATTTGTGTCTAATGGTATCCATCTCTAGGGCTGGGGGAGGGGAAGAAAAAAGAAAATAAAGAAAGTCATATGATAACTTTCTTATATATTTAATAGGAATAAAAAGTTGTACATAATAGATTTGCTGTTTCATGTGCAATCACCTTTTTTTATTCTATTTTGTTATGAAAATACTTGTTCTATTTCATAAGTTCAAATAAAATAAATAAAAGTTACCCAAAAAAGCTACAGCTGGTTCCTGTCAGCTGCAGGCTGGGCATCAGTGACGAGGCCAGATGCTAGGCCGCAGCTTGGTTGGTGTTGGGTTGTTCAGCTTGTCCAGAGCCCAGTTCACTAGGAACACTCTGAGGGAGGACAAAGGGAGGAGATGATGGCAGAAGGAGGTCATAGGGAAAAGACACAGGACAAAAGGCCTGTCTTTGGTCTTTGCATCCTTTCCAGTGATTCCCTGCCCTATCCTTGGGTCTCTTCCCAAGGATATTCAGGATCCAGTCCCCTCCTCTTACTAGGTGCATGCTTAACAACAACAGGTAGCTAATAGTTCAAGTTCAAGGTTGAGATGAAATGAGGCCCTCACAAACCACTGAACACAAACAAAGGAGGCTGACTTCATCCTAACTCAGTGAGGATGTGCACCAAGGACCCAGTGACATTTTTCTGGATAGGGCTCCTCTCATCTCCAGGTGGAAACTTGTCTGGTGGGCAGGGCAGGCATGGTGACTCCAAAGGAGCCTCCATGTTGGAGAAGCCACAACTCCCTGTGGATGGGACTTTAGGTGCCCTTAGGTCACCAGGAAGCTACCTTAAGGGAGACAAGGGCCAATCAAGTCCTAGGGACTGCTTTGTTGCCTTTTAGGGAAACCTAATCCTTGTTTTGGGGAAACCAGAAACTCCTGGTCCTGTCACACACCACCCCCAAAGACCCACAGATCTTCTAGAAGGCCTTCCACCATTTACTAACTTTCAGGATTTGATTGGACAATTGTCCTGGCCCAGGGAATACAAGAAGTGAAGAAAAGATACTTTGCCTCACCAAAGAAGAACCAAAAGAAAAAGGAAAAAAAAAAGATGAGGATGAAAAACCCCCCCAGAAATTCTAGACTTTCTCTTTCTCCTTTGGATGAACTGAGCCTCAGATCTTACTGATATATTCAGATCTGGCCTCAGACACATAATACTTACTAGACTGTGTGACCCTGGGCAAGTCACTTAACCCCAATTGCCCTCAGCAAAAACAAACAAAAAAATTTTTTAAAAAATCTTACTGATCTAGACTTGGTGTAAAATACTGATGGAGCCATACTAAAATATAATTGAGAAATGTTTTACAAAATAAAGGTGCAATAAAACATAATGTTAATATGTGGTTTTCTCAGAGATCCTTACCTACAGAGCCTGGAAGGTAGCAAGTGCTTGTTAATTAAATGAATGATTGTTTACAGTGTCATTAGTCAGGGAGCTGACTGTGAATATGATAAACAGGAAATGTTTCTTGTCTCCCCAGAAGAGGACTAGATGATACTTGGTGCACACTTCCAGATGGGGGAGGGGGATAGCAGTCAGATCCTGGGCCTAGAGGCAAAGAGGAGGGAAGTGAGAAGGGCAGTTTAAAAAGAATGAAGATCTTTAGGTAAGAGCATTGTGACCAGGAAGAAGGCATTCCTGGGAGACAAAGGCAGACAAAGAGATGCTATGTCCACTCCCCTAGACTTTCTTCTTTCTATGAGTAGTCGCTATGATGATTCTAGCTGAGTGTGGTGAAGGCTTCACCGCTGAGCTCCAGAGGACCAGCTCATGTTGTGTTGTCCCAATGAGTTACTGTGCACTTTGTCCAACTGAAGACTCATCGTCCCTGATCTGGCAGGAGCCTGCCCTCCCAGTCTTATTTCCCACCAGTGCCCCTGAAGTCCTCTTGACTTCAGCCAAACTGTCCTATTTACCGTCCCTCCACCAAAAAGCAGAAGACCCAAGGATGAATCTCCTTCTGCTACTAACGCTAGGGTATGGGCAGATCCCATCACTTCCTAACCTTGTCTTCTTAACTGTAAAGAAGGGTTTGTATCTCTAAAGTTCAGGTAGCAGGTTCTGTGTCCTGTATGATCTACAGGGCAGTGTGGGTAAAGGAATGGGAAGACTTCTTAAAGAGTCAACCTCTCCCTAATACTAAGAGAGGGCAAGGGGCAGAGATCCCTTTCACTGAAGAAAACAATTGTTTCTAGAGGCAGGAAAGTACCTCATTTCCCCTTTAGACAAGTCCCCAAGTCTGCATAGGTTCCCTCCATCTAAATTGTCAGTAAATGAGGAATATTTCCCACTCCCATGGAAAAAAAAATCAATCTTCATCCTATGAGTCCACATGCTATACTTTCCTACCTCTGTACCCTTTGTCCATATCATTCCCTAATCTCATAATGCCCTTCCATTGCTAAATCAGTAAAAATCCTATTCATCCTTTTAGACCCCCATCAATAAATGTCACCTCTTCCAAGATGGCTTGCCACACCACCTCATTTGGAAATGATTATTCCATCCACAGGCCTCAAACAGCACTTTGTGTACACTTCTGTGCTTGTATATTAGAGTGGTTGACTCTAAGGAGATGGGAAGCTCCTGTGGGCAGGGCCCAGGCTGCACTGACTTGATTACTTCTGCCACTGCCCAGGCTGTCCATAGAGTGTGATCTTTTGGGTTACACTGACCATGAGGAGAGCCCCTGAGCTTTAGGAGGAGCTCTATCCTCTGGGTCCTTGGTAAGCCCCAGAGCTGCCCCTCCCCCAGCCCTTGGATGGAGGCAGTGACTGCAGACTGCTGGAAGTCACCCTGCTTCTTCTGGCTCATCTTCCCCAGGCCCTCAATCCAAGGACTACTTCCCCCAGCCCCAAGCACCCCATTTGCCCCCAGAGCGGTCTGTCCCCTCACAAGAGTCTTGGGAGGCAGTCAGTGTGATAACTCATGATTCTCAGACAGATCCTCTCCTCCACCCCTCCATGGTAAGATCTACCTTACCCAGGACACAGTTCCTGCAGACCAAGGTCCCCCTGTCCATGCAGGATTCCTAACTAGGTTTAGTTTCCCTTCACTCTTACCCCGACCTCCCCTCCCAGTGGTCCCAGCATTCCCAAGTACATCAAAAGTGAAATGGCTTGGGAGCCTCTTCCCCTAGAAACTACTGTCCAGTCGGGACACCCACCCCCCGGCCCGGCACTCATCCTTCTCCCCCCCAGCCTGAGTTCAGTGGTGCGGGCGCTAGGAGAATGGCTTCCCTTGCCGCCTCCAGGCTCTCAGGCCCAGTCAGACCCCACTTCTGAACCTCTTCCTCCATCGCTCTTTGCTCCCCATTTCGGCAGCTGTGCACCTCTCCAGGCTTCCTGAAAGTGCCCAGCGAGCTCACCCTCCCGCATCATCCGGCCTCGAAACCTGGCTCCTTGAGGCCCCAGCTCTGCTCTTGGACCAGGGGCCTGGAGCCCACACCAGGCAGCCCTTCCCGCCCCTACCCCACCTCACCCCCATTTCAGATAGGAGCGCCCCCGCCCTCGCTGCGATCCGCTGAGCTCAGAGCCTGATTTGCCCAGTGGCTGGTGAAGTTTAAAATCCGTGGGCGGGAGGGCAGTGGGCGTCAGAGGTCATAGTCGAGAACCGAAGACTCGCCAGGACTGGAACTCAGGTTGGACCTGGGTTCCTTCCGCACTTGGAGGCTTCAGGCCTCCAGGGCTTGGCTCTCTTAGCTCATGGATCAAAGGACGTAGCTCAACTTTCGGTTTCTTTTCCCAGAAACATCTCCGATTCTCGCTAGTAGAGCACCCCGCCACAGCTCGCTCCCTGCCGTCATCCTACCACTCCCCCCAATCAGGGACAAATTCCAGGCTCTCGCTTCGGATTCAGTCAATGCCGCCTTCAGGACCCAGATTCTTAGCAAAAACAGGCAGAACAGGCAAGGAAGGAGAGTAAGCTGGAAAACCCCCCTCTCCCACCTCTGGTCATGGCTCCTCAGAGTCCTTGAAATTTTCTGCCGTCACAGAGTTAGTTCTGAGTAACTGTGGGCGCCTCTGGTATCGCGGCTCTTGGCGCCTGCTTGTCCCACTGACGGACCGAACCAGTGAGCAAACGGACGGACGAATCCCTCCTGGTAATGACCAGCTGCGGAGTGTTCAGAAACACAGCTGACCGCACCAGGTTTACATTTTTTCATCCAAAAAGTAAAGAGACTGAACTTGGTGATTTCTGGGGACCATTTGAAGTCGGACATTCCATGATTTCAGTGAGCAGGGCGACTTTGGGTGTTAACGTTGTAAAGAATAGGGCTCTCGGGGTCTGGAGGTTGTCTCTTTGTCTCTGGGCCCCTGGGATCTGGGGACCTCGTCTGCCTGGGAGTTGCCAACTTTGACAGAGTAAACTTCTGCAGCCTCCTGGGTTGGCAGGATGGAGTTTGTGGTTGGCAGCTGAAATCCTCTAACACCAGGAAAAAGTAAGCGGCTCTTCAACACCTTGGTACCCCAAGGCTAGTTACCCAGCCCCA